ACCCTGGCTCAAAGAAGCTTCTGTCTGTTTCAAAACCTGAACTAACTATATGATGATACTGAGAACTGAAGTTTATTTAGAAGTCTTAGAGTTTCTCAACTCAATGCAATTAAATGAATTAACTTACTTTCAAAATATTCATATATTATAATACCTGTGCAAAAGTGTAAGAGCTTTCCCTGACAAGGTACGGTAAAACAAAGTTTGTTGGTGCTGAGTATGTGGAGCCAAATTTCACCATCACAGCCGAGGTGGCCATCCTGTGTCCCCTTGAAAAGTTACCATGCAAGCTTGCTTCAAGCACAAGCTCTGAGAACAGCTGCACCACACATGGAAAGCCAGGGAGTGTCTGTTTTCATTGTTTCAGGATGATGATGAAATGCAATCATTATACAAGCTAAAATCTTAGAAGATCTAGAAATATTTTGAAGATGAGCTTTAAAACAAATCTTCCTGTCTGCCCCTCCAGTCCTGCTGGTATGTTTTTGATGTGTTGTCAGTGGTGGTGGTAGTGAGTAGAAACTCAGTTTTCTATTCTATAAAATAGGAGTATCAATAGCACTTATCTCATAGGGTTGTTGTAGGGATTAATGAATACTGTTGTTAGGTGAACAAATTAAGATAAGTTAAATTTGAATTTTGCTCTAAAGTATAGAGGATTTCAATTCATTTGCAGTTCTTTATCAATTTGTTCTTGCTTAGTAAGTTTCAATAAGCTATGTTGATTAGTACTCACTGAAATATGTCTCTGAGATCCTAGTCAAATACAATTATCTGGTAAGAAAGAATAGGAAATAACATTAAAAGAATTACTTTGATTGTATTATACACCTTGGCACACAGTCTTTGGTCTTCAAAACTGTAATTACATTTGTAGAGTGTTATTTTCTCCTTTCTAAAATTATCTATGTTTTTGTATCTATCTATGTATCTATGTTTTCTATCTATCTAGCCATCCATCCATCCATCCATCCATCCATCCATCCATCCATCCATCCATCCATCCATTTTCTATTACCTTCCTCTTCTATCTCCTTCCTCATCTTCTACTTTCTGGTAACTTATTCAAGTCATAGATGAATTTCTTACTTTGTAAGTGTCATATTCTTGATAGGGCATTGCTCACAAATTTGACAGATGCATCTGGGTATCTGTTGTGCAGGTTATTGATGAAATGCTATTGATGATAGTGTTAGTTAGTGTCAGGGTAAACATCCAGGAAATATCTTTTGCTGTTTCTTGCCAGATTGCTAATAAGTTTGAGATGATAATTCTTTTGAGGAAATTTCTCTCGTCATTGTGTACCTTTGCAACACTAATTTGCGCGAAATTCAGAAATTTTGTGTCAGTGTGCATTGTTGGCTGATGAAGGTTCTCCATATCGTTTAGCCCACAAAGGTGATATTGTGTCCCATGGAGTTTGTAGATACAACTGTTGGACCATTTTTTAGAACTCAAATATTGTTGCTCATATGACTACAAAAGCAAAATATTTGCAGCACTTCTTTTTTAGGAAAGGACTTTCCATCAGAAAAAGTAGAAAGGGCTAGGTAACCAAGAATCTAGCAGATGCTGGAAGATGTGGCAGTAACAAAGGAGCCTATGGAGGAGCTCAGAGAGACTGGGGTGTATGTTGTAGGCAGAGGGCAGGCTGGTGGTGGCAAGAGATGAAAAGAAAGCTGTCCAGAGTGAGGTAAAATCAATGAATCTGTTATTATGGATATTTTCTGATTTCTTGGCCTTTCATAGAACATTAGCAGTTTAGTCATCAGATCTTAGCAGGATAGTCAGAAGAATTACTCTGTGTACTTTTCTACTTTTGGAAGCATTAGTGTTAGAGAGTAGAGGTTCAATTCAGGTAGGGGTGCAGGTGAGTGGAGGGGAATGGGCATAAGGATCTGACATGAGGAAGGGTATTTTGCTTTGCTGTAACTATTCTTCTATTATTGTCCCAATAGGACTTCATATTTACCATAAAAGATTGTTTCATATCAGGGATTCTTTCCATGTTCTGGGGTTTTATACACTTTTTTTCTGAAAGAGGTTTTGTTCTAGTATTTTTCCAAGTATAACAGTTGAATTACTTGAATAAAGTAATTCCTAGGGTCACCACACCTTTAAAAACATCTTCTCAATTACTTTGGTTATACATGGGCATAGGATACTGACCATGAGAAAAGCAAATTAGAAGTTAAGAAGACTCGGGTTTTATTTGTTTCCTCAAATAGTGGCAATTGCTATATATTGATGCAAACTTACCTGTGAAATGTGCATTTTGAAGTATGTAAGAGACCCTGTAGTGTTCCCTTTTTACGTTGGGTTGTTTTTTCATTTGGGTAGAAAAGTTAGTAGAGGGTTCAGAGTCTGCAGATGAAATGTCATGTCATCTCGCCTTCTTTCTGAAGTGCTTCCCATAGGAACTTCAGGGTAATTCAGTAGCAGTACAGCTTCCACATAGACTCTGTCTCCTTGGTCCAGTCACATTGACTTTTGTCTGTGATACTGTCCCCTGAGAAATGTCACTGATGCTTCAGAGGACGTAGACCTGGAGCAATAAACCAGCACAAAATCCATACCTGTAAAAATAAATAAAATGAGAGTTAGAAGGCTTCCTAGATTCTCATGTTGTCATCGAACTAGATAAAGTGCAGAGAAGTATGGCATTAGAAACATGTCTGAATTCTGGCTAGAGATGAAAATGCTGCAATTGAAAGCTTTCCAGAACAACATGTACTTGGATTCGTATTAAAGAAAAAATTTTTGAGCGTTTATGCCAAATGACCCAGCAGGGTTGATAGTGTGAGGCATATTTCACTGTTGTATAAATATTTAAAACTGTTTTCCAACCTATAAAACAAGTAAATTAGGTTGTTTTTAAAAAACTGCTCGATGAAATTAACCTGCTCACCTTAACTTTTGGAGAATCTGCCTTACTCTATACCAGTCTTCTCTCCTAAAAGGGCATCACAGAGAGGGAAGTGTGACAAAGACTTCCAACTTGGAAAACAAAACTGGTTTAGGATTCAGAGGGTTTCAGAAGAGATAGTCAGCATCATAGTAAACTGTCATAGGCTGGCTGTTTCCAGATGGCTCGTCTGCCTCATTTGTCACCAGGGGCCTAATAAGACACAATCGCTTTTCATCATAAACCCCTTTGAACTTGGTCAAGGGGGGAGACTTGGGCATAAACCTCAAATTAAGCAGTGTAGCATCCTGGTCGTGTTATTTTCAGTTCTGAGCTGTTGGTCCTAGTCATTAAAATGCCACCAAGTCAAGTCAGTCCTTTAGTCACAGTGCTGGGGAGGATTTGCAAGTGGCTTTCCTGTGGAGTCTTCCAGGCTTATTTTATCATCAATTGCTGTTCTTGTCCTTTTCAATATTTTTTTTCTTTTAACCCCTATTATGTTCAAAATCAAGACAGTAAGAATTAACACTGTCATGCTGTCCTTTCTTGTGTGGAGACTGAACTTCATATCTTCAGGAGCCAGAGTTTGATGTCCCTACCATTTGGGCAATATTAAGATGGGTCCATTTCATAATCCACAGTTAATGTTTCTCATTTCCCCCTACTGATAGCGATAGAATAGATTTTGCATTAACTTCCTAGCAGAGCTTGTGATAGTGGGGAAGTCCTTATCTTTGTTTTTTGTTTTTAAGATTTATTTATTTATGCATACAAGAACTGGGGTACAGGCCAGAGGTGTGGGGGGATGGTGAGAGGATTCACCAGAGACAGGGTGGGGAATAGAACCGGCAGACTGACTGAAAAACACTGTTGAGGGGAGCAGTGGGTAAGTCAGCTATCCACGTGGATAGCTCCCTGGCCGGGGATTGAACTCATGCTTCAGTGGCTTTGGATAACTTCATAGGTTGCGTCTTAACTCCTTGTGCCACCAGGGAGGCCCAAAGTCCTTATCTTTGTTTCCAAGGTCAGATCAACATCACATCCAGAATAAAAAACCCTTAGTTTGAGTATTTGTGAAATTCATACTCTCTGAGTCTAGTTGCTCATCCAATTTAGCTTCCTATGCACTGATATATCCCGTATGCATATATCAGCTTTGAGGCCTAAAAGTTTATTGTTAAGGATAGTGTGTTATCAGCCATATGTGGCTAGTTCACTATCAAATGATCTCTTTGTTAATTCTTACTTGCATTTTAGCTGTTGTCCTAGACCATTCTTCCTTGTCTTGGGCTCCTCCTTCACTTCTTGCTCCCAGTTAAATAGCTTTCTAAGGAAATGATTGACATGTTTCTACATTTTTTAATATAGAGGTTTTTTTAAAGGCTAAAATTTATTTATTTTTATTTATTTTTAAATTTTATTTTGCACAGAAGAACTGGGGTGTAGGCCAGAGGTGCGGGGCATTAGAGGATTCACCAGAGGCAGAGTGGGGAGCACAACAGGCAGTTCTACTGAAATACACTGCTGAGGGGGACAGCGGATGAGCCAAGAGAGGTCTGCTGAACCATATGTGGGTTAGCTCCCTGGATGGGCATTGAACCCAGGCTGTAGTGGTGATAATGCTGAGACTTAACTCCTAGGCTACCAGAGGGGCCCCCAATTTTTTAATATAGAGTTTGGAAAGAATGTTAGTGACTGAATTTATTGTGACATCCTTGGGAGATTATGTCTCCTTCAAATATTCTGGCCAAGGAAATGCAAGCAAGAGTTAATAACTGCTCTGTAAGACTGGCACTATGAGATGGTGGCAAGAGTATATAGCCAAGCGTTGGGCATCTGGATGTAGCTTCAGCGGTATGACTAATTCTCTGTCCTTTGCCAAATCACTTGACCTCTCTGGACCTTAGTTCCCACATCATGCAGGAGTGCTGGGGGGTGACAGTATTATCAGGTAAAAGCCTTTATTGAATCTCATTGAATTTAGCATTCTAGAACAGTTTTATTTGCTTATTCTTTCATATGGTATTCCATTAGGAATACGTTCCCTTGATTTTTCTGTCACTCTGAAAATAATTGATTTTGTTTTTGTTCTTAGACTCAAGAATGAAAAATGGATGAATGTCAAAGTGGGAGACATCATTAAATTAGAAAATAACCAATTTGTTGCTGTGAGTATTTAGTATTTGAGTACTTTATCTCTGATCAAAATATCAAAATTGTTGAAGTACTTACATTTGCAAATTTAGTAAATCTATACTAATTCAGAGTAATTAAGGAAGGAATACAAGGTTGTGCTAGTAGAAAATCTCAATACAAAGTTTTAGAAGATACTGAACAATTACTTTCAATGGCTGGGTAACTCAGAAAAACTCAATGATTATCACCTTTGCTATTTCCTTTGATATCTTTTAAAATGATTTAAAAATACAAAAATCAGGCTATCAATAGTTTCATGGAAATTAGTTTTTAAAATACATGAGTACTTTAGAAATTGTTTGTTTCACATAAGTTGAATATTGTCCTTCAATTATGAGATCAACACTGTTAATTTGCAGTTTGTTTGAAGAAAGGATAAGCAGGAGGAGGAGAAAATGTGTGCTCATTCCCAAAAAATCCCAATCAGAAAATATCTGTTGATTGTTCCAAATTAATAAAATGCTGTTTATGAATCAAATGTTGCACAATTTATATTCTCAAACTGCCTATGTTACCATTTTCTTAATAAAAACCAAGGGTTTCAATCATTAAAATATGTGACTAACTATAGTCCATATTAAGTGAAGGGTGACAAAAGCTCTCCAGATCAGAGATTAAAAATTCAAGTTATTGGGCCTCCCCGGTGGCGCAGCGGTTGAGCGCTGGGTTGTGAAGCTCCCTGCAGCCTCTGCGGCGCCGGTTCGATCCCCAGCTGCTCCCCGGCCACCGGAGGAGGGTCCCACATGGCGCGCAGACCTCTCCTGCCGCCCGCTGCTCCCCTCAGCAGTGTACTTCGGTCCTTCTGCCTGCTCTGCTCCCTGCTCTGGCTCTGGTGAATTCTCTCACCCTCCTGCGCTTCTGACTGTACCAGTGCATGTATAAACAAACAAATAAATAAATAAAATACGTGCCTCTTAAAAAAAAAAAAAATTCAAGTTATTGAAGTCTTCATGTCAACCATATATTAGGTTACTTAAGGAAATTTTTGTGTTGACTGCAATTTTTTTTGTATCAAGTTGTGTTCTTCATTAAATTTGAGACATTTTCTCACAGGGGGAAAAAAAGGCCTCAGGATCTATTTATGAAAACAAGTCAGTTGAGAGTCTTAAACATTCACTTTCAGAAACAGTCTTTTTTCATTAATACACCTCCTGTGGGTACTAATTCTCTAGAACGCCCACGTTAAGGAGACTACTCAGTGGACAGACCCTGCCCGAAGAGTTCATTCTTTAAATAGAGAAGTGCTTATTTCTTCGACAACCTCAATTCGTTGGAAAACAGCAGAGAAACAAAACTAAAGCAAAAAGATGTCCTTGCAGCCAAAACCAGAGGTCTCCCAGTCCATGAACTGTGACTTGAGCTCCTTATACATAGGACAGTCTGCCAGGTTTTTGCAATCTATTTACTTTTCTGTTAGACACAATTCAAATTAGCTTGTCCAGTTTATTTTCCAACTCATTAAAAATTAGGAACAGTTTACTAGGGTGTAGCATCTGTTAGAAGAACATCCCCTTCAGGAAAAAGAGAGGTAGGATGGGATGGAGAACTGAGGGAGAATGCATTCTTTCCTCCATTCCTCAGTGACAGCGCTTTATCTGCTCTGCCTGTGGCTTCATGTGGCAAATCATGGTGCTAGACCACTGTGTGATCTCAAAGATCTCTTGCAGTCATCACATGTTGTGATTCTCTGTCTGAACTGAGGCTGTCACAACATTCTTGAAAGGTAAATGATACACTGACTTGACTTGTTTCTAACCCCTAGTGCCACTTTGGGTCATAGGAAACAGTTAATGCTAGTTGAATCTTCTAAGGAGTAGGACAGAAAAAGAAAGTGGATGTTAATTTAAAAAATTCAGGGTGTTCTGGGTCAATGGAATATGAAAAATAAATTTATAGGCCCTAAGAAGAAAATATGACTTATATTCAGAAATCTTCGCTTTAGCTGAAAGAACTCCAAATTAAAAGTAAATTTACTTTCAATTAAAATGATTATAATGAGAGAGTTTTGGGCTTAAATTGGCATTTGAGGAATTGTGAGATGTGTGCATTCAAAACAATTTTTAGCCACCGCTTTATGCCAGGCATGGCACTAGATTATGTTGGAATGAGTGTAAATTAAAGTAAGCCATACTTTATTTTGCCTTACTTTATTTGGTCTGGAATTGAATGTTTCAGGGATAATACTAGGTACATTTATGCTTTAAGGTTCAGTAAGGACAGTGTTTTTTAAGAATCCTCTAGATATGCTCTAACAAGGGCAAATATTAGATGAAATTCACTGTCCTCTAATATAACGTTTTAGTGTGTTCAGTTGTAAAATGTTTCAGAGCAAGTACCAGAAAGGAAGAGTCAGATTTATGATTCAATCTCCTAACTCCATATGAATACACAGCCAGCATTTTTGTACTCCAATTTGCCCTCTACTATAGGTATTCAAATTTTTATTTTCTTCAGTCCTCATTTTTAGCTATATTTTCTTTTGTGTGCATTTTTTTTTATGTTGCATGCTTACTTGCAAAGCCTTCTGTGGAATGAGGCATGGAAAATGGATACAGTGCAAGTATCAGGTGAAAGAAAACCAGTTCCGTGACAGCATCTTTATTTAGCATTGGTGTCAAATGAGTCACACACGGAGATTAGTTCCTATTAAGTCAGTGATGCCTGAACTTCAGCACCTTCCAAAAGAACTTTCTTCAGTGAAGGAAATGTTCTGTATTTGTGCTGTCCAATGTGACAACCAATAGGCTATGTAGCCATTGAAGGCTTGAGATATGTTTCATTTGAGTTCAGCTAATTTAGATTTTAATAGCCACAGTGACTTCTGCTTCCACCGTTGGATGGCACAGATGCAGCCTTTGAATTGTGGCTATGTGATGGAGTGGGAATGTTTACTCTCTATGCTTTCTAGGTCCAATTCTTTACATTTTCACTTGGAGGGACAGCCCCAGATAACATTCTTGAGAGTCCTGCAACCCCTTACCTGCTCCCGTCTCCCAGAAGTGACTTCTCTGATGGCTGAATTTGTAGGGAAGGAGTGGTGTACAAGATCCCAAGCCTCCTTCACTCTTTCTCTCTGGGCTCTACCTGTTTCTAGAGAGTACATTCTGCCCTCCTCCTTGATGCCACCAGTTTTATAAGGGCAAAGCTTCCTGGTGAGGATGGTGGCAATGTCCTTGTAGTTTAGAGCTTAACAACAAGCCCATTTGACCCATGGGCCTAAAGCCTAGCCTCCAACAGATTTACCAGTAATAAAGATGGTAGCTTATCTCTACTGACTGCTGACTTGCAATAGCTAGTCTTTATTGAATGCATGCTACAGGCCAGATCATATTAGTCTCTTTATATAACTCGCTCATTTTATCCTCATATTAGCTCACATGAGAGTAGACTATATACTATTGTTATTCCATCTTACAGATGATAAAACAGAAGCATAGTGAGATCAACTTGCTAATAGGAGAGTCAGGAGTTAAACCAAGGCCTTCTGGCTCCATAGGAACCCCCACATGCAGCCTCCAGCTACTGCCATATGGGGCTCTTGATTCTACTAGAAAAGTCACGTCGATTGCCTTGAGCCTGGGCTTTCACAGATAGGAGTTATAGGCTTGGATGCTGGAAGTAAAGCAACTGGGGAATATTGCATGCAATTTTGATGTATGACCTCTGTCTGTCCATATTTAGAATTTCTAGCTTGATTTACGTGGACTTATTTAAGCAAGGAAAGGGGATCACCTGACTGCCAATTAGCTCATATGTTCAAAAGTTTTTTTTTTCTTCTTTTCTTTTTTACATCTTTGTTCATTTTTAAACAATATTTGCTTCCCCCCACCCCCTCAGGTGTAATCCCTGTAGAGTGTCCTTCACCAATGCACCCGTGCACCATCACCTCAGTGTGCTCCTCCCCCCCTCCCTCTGATCCCTCTCATATGTTCAAAAGTTACCTTTCTGGGCCTCCCTGGTGGTGCAGGGGGTTAAAGCAACGCACTATGAAGCAATCCACAACCTGGGCATGGCGAGGCAGACATCTCCTGTCTAGTCCCTCTGCTGCTCCCCTCAGCAGTATATTTCAATCAGTCTGCCTGTTCTCTTCCCCACTCTGTCTCTGGTGAATCCTCTCACCCCTTCCCCACCCCCATCTCTCGCCTGCACCCCAGCTCTTGTATGCTTAAATAAATAAATCTTTTAAAAAAAAAGTTACCTTTGTTCTCCAGATACAGAACTCCCGCTGCCCCTCACTTTTTTTTTTAATTCTAAAACAATTTGGGGCTGAATTTTCAGTGCCCCTAATTTTATTTCCAAACTAGGGGGAAAATGCAGAGTATGATTCAATTGCCACAGTGAGATTAATTTGCATTAGAAGAAGCGAGTCAAATGTTAGAAAAACTTACTGCAGAATTCCTAATACTGACAGATGCTGGGGAGCCAGGCAAACCTTCCTCTTTCAATTGACAATAGTGTTGTTGTGTATTTCTTTTTTTTTTTTACTGATGAGGTGGCAGAAGTAATCCCCCATTGAATAGGAGCATATTTAAACATTGCATGAATATAGTTGTTTAGGTATTGGAATAAGTGCTCCCCCAACTCCTGCCACAAAAAAATATTCATGCTTTAAATGCTTACAATAGTAAAAGTTTTGTTTTAAAATAAAGGCATTCTTCTGTTTCAGGAATTAGAAATTTCATCTTAAGAAATTAAAGAGCTAGATTGATGAATTTGGCCTAAACACCAGTCCTGACTAGAGGCTTTGGCACTGTTGTGATCCATCCATGTGTCTCATCTGGTTCTTACCAGCTCCCCCTCACTTTTTTAGGGAGATCATTTTGTGTTCTAATTCTTCCCTGTTATTTTAAGTTTTTAAAGTTTCAAATAAGTTACTTATTTCACTGTAGCTGGTATTAAAAAAGAACCCTCTTAAAAATGTGATAGAGTAGAAAGACAAAGATTTTTGTTTGACGTTTGCCTGAATTATACTGAAGAAGCTTCTTGCTAACGTGTAGAGGAATGACTCATTATTTCCTACATTAATAAACAGTTGCTGGCCAATGTTCTGTTTATAAGCAGTTACTAATTTGTGGGAGTGAAATATATGGTCAAGGATTTTTTGCCTGCAAGTGAGTGCACTGAAATCTATTATTATTCTCCTCCACTAATCTCCTTTTTCAATATCTTTCCTTATTCTTCTCAAATTAATTAAACTATAAAATACAAAAGTAATTACAGTATTTATTAGTAGATACTCAACTTACATTTGTAGGATCTGAAATTTAAATTTTAAATAAAAATATTACCTATAGTCTTAAACATTTTCATTTTGGGGAACTCATAATGATTCTTGTCCCTATCAAACATTTTTCCAAAGTATGCTATTGGAAAATACTTTTGTATTACATGTATTATACTTTTGTATCAGACTTTAGCATGAGATGTTTGGCATTTTCATTTTTGGGCTAAAAAAAGAAAAGACAATATTGTAAAGGATAAAGAAGTTAAAGAACTCCTTGTGGGAGAATGACTTAAAAAATAAAGGAAGATCCAGGTATGATGTTCCAATTAATTCGACAAATTTATCTTTTGAACCATTATGGAAACAATATCCCAATATTCTTTCATCATTGTAGTTTTGATTTTGTGAACACTAACAAAGCAAAACAAAACTCAAGAAAACAAAGCAAAATACTTTCTGTCTCTCATAGCTGTATTCCATTGCTTTTGTAGCCAGCCCAGGAAAGATACACATTTTGGCATCAGAATTCTAGTTCAGCTCTGCCCTTAAGCTCCATATGGCCACGAATATGGCTTTGAATCTCTCAGAACCTTGGTTCTTCAATTAGATGTGCTAAAGCTCTCAGCAACCTTTGTGAAGGTTGTGGACTTCTCATTGGTTATCTCATCTACTGTTGTAGGACCAGAGACAACCTTCCCAGCTTTCCTAGCCACACAATGGGAAATATCACCGCCTCAGGGACACTGGAGAGAACAAAGTAACACAATTCTGCAAAAGTGTTTTAGAAACCCTGAAATAATCATACAGTTTTGAGGTGTTATCATGACTTGAGATTTTGTTTAACTGACTTTTTAGTTCAACAAACATTATGCCTGATAACACTGTCCCTGCCTTTTGTGACTCACACACGTTCAGTGGATTCTGTTCGAGTTTCATCTGACTGGAGTGTTTGTTTCAGGTTTCCATGAAGCAATGGCTTGGGCTTTTTGTTGCTAGTGGAAGGCGGGGGCAAGGGCATTGGTGATGGAAAACACTGTGTCATGGAGAACTCAGTTGAGTCTCTCTGGGCAGAGTGTGGGGATAAAGGTGCCAATAGCTGACAGAGGACAGTACAAATGGGGTGAGAGGAAGATGCTTCTGGCTGTCTCTGTTTATCTGGCCCACCTGTGAGTTCTGTTAATCACTCTGTCCCTTCTTTGTTCTTTACTCCCCCTAATGTCTCTGCCATCTGTTCCATCCTGAACTTCCCGTGAGATCCTTCCCCAGCCATCAACCCTATGTTTTCTCTCTTTCTCTCTCTTTATTTCTCTCTCCTTTATTTCTCTCTCTCTTTATTTGTCTCCTTTTATTTCTCTCTCTCCTTATTTCTCTCTCCTTTTATTTCTCTCTCTTTCTCGTACTCCTATATCATTTTGGTTTTTATATGTTTTTATGAAACTATAAAATTCTTGAGAAAAAAGAGGTTTTTACTCATTTTAGCTTTCCTGGCTGTATACGCCTTAGATCTGATGCCAGAAACTCCACTTATTAGGTGGCCTCAAGCAAGTTACTGAACCTCTCTGAGCCTTTCACTTTGCTCATCTGTTAAGTGGAGATAACAATAGGACTGACACTACAGGAATTTTGTGAGTATTAAATATAATATTGCATGTAATATCTCAGGATAGTGTCAGACATAGTAAAGCTCTCACAGATATTAATGATTGGTATCATGAAAATCTACAACTCAAATCCCAGTTTCTGGATTGACTACGAAGTGGGTCCCCTGAGACCCAGTGAGGGAATCAGCTTGAGAAGACCACTTACAGAATCATGGGGTTGGTGGAGTCCTAAGGCCACTCATGAGTTACTTCTTCAGAATCTCTGATAAAAGGGTAACCAGGGACTAATAGGTTTTTACTGTAATTTCCTTGCCTGTTCTTTTCAGAATTATTACCAAATATACCTGGTCATGGAGGGGACTGTGTGATGATAAGTGGATTGGCCACTTATTCTGCTGGATGCCCCTGCTGGTCCTGCCTCTTTATGCTTCATCCTCGACTGTAGTGAATTAAAAAGCTTCCAAGGGAGGAGTTAGCAAAAGGGAAAACCAAGGCTTAATGGTGGGGCAGGGAGAGCAGAGGATGAATGAGAGGAGGCAGGATAGAAATCAGGGGATGGGAAAACAAGAGGAAGATTCAGAGGACATCAAAGGAAAAGGTGACATGGAGGAGACAGGAAGAGGCTGGAAAGGTCAGTGATAGGTATTTCAGGTTCCCAGGGTTAGGCAGATGAAGAAGGGTTAGCCCAGAACTTATGGGGTTTGTGGTTCTCTCTTTCCATCTCTTGGAAGTGAAGTCACTGGCTCAAAGGAGAGCCCAGTGGTGGGGACTATGGTCAAGTTCTGAGTCGACTGTGTGTAGTTTTCCTCTCTTTGTTGACCAAAAATATGTAAGTGCATGATAAACAGCAACAGTGGATTGTTCTTACTATGCAGAGTATAGAGGGAGAGCAACTCTAGGTAACAGTAAAAAGAGGTATCTTTATACTTCATAACACAATCACTTAACATATACAGCACAACACAATCTGAGGATAAGAATTAGGGAATTCTGAATTTCATTTAAAATGATCCTTTTAAGGTCAGGGGAGGAGAGACCAAAAAGCATGATGATTGATGCTATCGTATTCATAAAAACTGAAATGTGAGCAATAAGAACAGGTGAATTTTCAAAAACATCTATTTCCTCTTTAAATTCAAGATAAGGGGGGGCCTCCCCAGTGGCGCAGTGGGTTGAGCACAGCACTGTGAAGCTGTCTGCAGCCTCCTGCCTCGCCCGCTGCTCCCCTCAGCAGTGCATTTCAGTCAGTCTGCCTATTCTGTTCCCTACTCTGTCTCTGGTGAATCCTCTTACTCTCCCATGCCTCTGACCTGCAGCCCAGTTCTTGTATAAATAAATAAAATCTTAAAAAAAAAATAAATTCAAGATGGGTCATTCTGGGCTTAATCTGACCAATTACATCATTTAAGGCTATTATTGCTTTGTTAATTTTTTGTCTGGATGATTGTTCTATCGACATAAGAGATTCCCCACTATTCTATGTTGCTGTCAGTGTCTCCCTTTAGGTCTGTTAATAATTGTTTTATATATTTAGGTGCATATGTTGGATGCATACATGTTTATAACTTACATATCTGCTTGTCGGATGGATCACTTGATCAATATATAGTGTCTGTCTTTGTCTCATGACTTTTTTTGGTCGATAGTCTAATTTATCAAGTGTGAAAATAGCAGTTCTTGAAATACCTTATTGCAGCCTTTCGCTGAGTCTGTGTCTTCAGGTTGATGTGCATTTCTTGCATGTATAATATAGATGCCTCTTACTTTTTAATTCATCCAGCCACTCTGTGACTTTTGATTGGCAAGTTCAGACCCTTTCACTTTGAGGGTGACTATTGATAGGATATTTTGTTGTTGTCTCATAATAGTTTTGTTTTGTTTATGTTTTATTGCTATGCATTCATTGTTACCACCTTGCTCAAAGTTTTCTTTGCTTTGTGGTTTTTTTTTTTTTTTTTTCCTTTCATGTAGATGAACTCCAAAAGCATTTCTTGGAGGGCAGGTCTGGTGGTAGTGAACAACTTTAGGTTTTTTTTTTTTTTTTGGAAACCTTAATTTCTCCATTATAATTGAATGATAATTTTGTAGGGTAAAATATTCTTGCTGGATAGCTTTTATCTTTTAGTATTGTGGTACAATTGTGATATATTGAAAAATAAAGATAAGAAAATCGTACAAATTTGGAATGCCAATCACACATTCAGATATACCTAGAAAATTGTTAGGCTAATCAATCAAAATAAATTGCTAATATTTTAGTGATCTTTAGATAGTCAAGTCCTCCAGAATTTCATGAAACCCTTATTTTAGTATAAATTCTGAAATTTAAAGTAAATGGTTTCCTAACAGAAAAAGCTTAAACCAATTCTGAATTATGAGAGGTGATTTCCAAAGCTGAAGTAGATAAAGAGAACGATTTCTCTGTGTCAAAGATGTTAACTGATCAGAGTGTTTTCTCCTATCTTTCATCATGCTGTGTATTCTGTCTTACTCCCTTCTTTAACTGCTGTGTTTTGCTCATCTCCTTTCCCTGCCCGTCTTTTAACCAGTAATGTTAGTGTGCATATAAATATTTGTATTATGGTATTTATTGAGGAAAATTTTATATTTTCCATCAATAATTCTCACAACAAGAAAATTGAATTTTATGTATTTCTTGTAAAGTCATAAATGACATAGTTATTGACTTTAGTGCTAGCCCCTGCCTTTTCTTGTGTTTTGATGGCCACAAGGTGTGCACAACAGGAACAAGGAAGAAGAGGGAACATTGGATTCAGGAGATATGGTGGACAGGGGAACAGGATTTCACCTCTTTCACTTATTTCCAAAGGCCCTCCTGACTTATCAGTAGCAGAGGGGTGATATAACAAGGAAGGCTTTTACCAATCTTCCCCTCTCAAGTATTCTTAATATGCTTTTTAAAACAGGCTGATCTTCTTCTCCTATCAAGTAGTGAGCCACACGGCCTCTGTTATATTGAAACTGCTGAGCTTGATGGGTAAGTTATTAAAGTTCAATAACTAGTTGAATTGACTTTTAATTTATTCAAGAGTAATCACTTTAGAAATAGGACTTAGCTTGAACTTTACATCTTATGCTCCACTTTATTTTCTTGGAAGAAATAGGAGTCTAAATTGCAAAGTCTCTTTGCTGATGACTTAGCAGATATTTTGAAAAGTCTTATCTTTTCTCCTGAAATTATTTTCTCTCAGAAAAAGTGAGTTAGCCATGTATATGTGAACAGTTTTACACAGGCACTCTTTACTGAGTTTTTTTTTTTTTTTAAGAGGCCTTTCTTTCTTTCTTTCTTTTTCTTTCTTTCTTTCTTTCTTTCTTTCTTTCTTTCTCTCTCTTTCTCTTTCTCTTTCTCTTTCTCTTTCTCTTTCTCTTTCTCTTTCTCTTTCTCTTTCTCTTTCTCTTTCTCTCTCTCTCTCTCTCTCTTTCTCTCTCTCTTTCTCTCTCTCTCTTTTTCTTTCAAATTTCAAATGATTTACTAAGGAAAACAAGAGCAGTATCCATCAGGAAAGAAGGCAATCTTCTGGAACTGAGACAAATCAAGTTGTTCATAGCAAAGAGAGGAATAATAGATAATTTTTGGTAGTCTTGACTTTTATGTTAATTTAGAATTTAGTATAGACCACAGAACAGTTCTGTTTTAGAGGGTTTGATTTATCTGTCTGGCATAAAAATATTTACTGAATGCTTACACTTTAAAGATACTATACATGTTGTTTAAATGAATTTTATCATTTAAGCCTCACATAGGGACTATGTAAGTCCCATTTTACAGAAAAGACAACCAATGATTAGAGAGACTGAGTAATTTGTCCCCAAATTCTAAAGTTTGGTCTTTGTGATCCTGCCCCTGGTTTGAATATAAGCTAAAATAGTGTTGAGAGAGAAATTTACAGACCTCAATTTATACACTTGAAAAGAGACATTTCAAATAAATAATCTAATACTCTGTCTCAAGGACCCAGAAAATAGTGTAATAAATACAAAGCAAGCAGAAGGAAGGAGATAACATTGAGAAGAGCAGAAATCAATGAACTTGAAAACAGAGAAACAATGAAGTCAATGAAGCAAAGAGGTGGTCTTTATAAATTAATAAAATTAACAAAGCATTAGGAAGACTGCCAAAAACGGAAAGAAACACATATTAGCAGTATCATGAATGAACCAGGGAATATGACTATAGATCCTGGAGATGACAGAAGGATAATAAGGAGGTACTGCAACAACTATATACATAAAAATTTAGCAACATAGATGAAATAGATCACTTTGTTGAGAAGCAATCACAACTAGCCCAATATGAAATAGATAATGGTCCTATCAATATTAAGAAAATTGCATTCAGGTGTAAAGCATAAAATAATAATACTTTTAGAGAAAAACATAGGAGAAAAATTTTGAGACATTGAGCTAATCAAGACTTGACACAAGAAGCATCATCTATAAAGGAAAACTTTGATAAGTTGGACTTCATAAATTAGAAAAATTTGCTTTGCAAGAAACTCTTACAAATGAGGAGAAAATACTTGCAAGCCATCTCTCTGAAAAGACTTGTATCTTGAATATATAAAAAGTCCTCAAAATTTGACAGTGAAACAAAAAATTCAATTAGAAAATTAGAAAATGACATGAGCAGCCATTTTACCAGAGGATAGCTCTAGACAGCAAATAAGCATATGAAAAGAGGTTCAGTATCATTAAGGAAATTAAAATTGAAACCACAATGAAATATCATTATATACCTATCAGAATGACTAAAATAAAAGATAGTGACAAGTCCAAATGCTCTCAAGGATGTGGAAAAGGAAGATCAGTTACACAGTTGGCGGTGGGAATATAAAATGCTACAGTGACTCTGGAAAACAATTTGGCTGTTTCTAAAAAACTAAACATACAGCTACCATATAACCCAGCAATTTTATTCCTAAACATTGAACCTACTCCAGTGGGAGGTTATATAAAAAGTAAGTACACAAATGCTTAGGTCAGCTTTCTTTGTAACTTATATGACTGTCAACAAGTGAATGGTTGATAAACTATTGTACATCCGTATCATGGAACATTACTGAGCAATAAACAGGAATGAACTATTTGATACATGCAAGAGCCTGGGTGAGTCATCAGATAATTATGTTGAATTTTAAAAAAGCCAATCTTCAAAGGTCACATATTATGATTCTGTTTTTTTAACATTTTTTTGAATGGCAAGATTAAGAAAATGGAGAACAGATTAGTGGTTTCCAGGAATTAAAGATAGAGTGGAGGTGGAGCAGGGGCAGAAAAGTGAGTGTGACTACAAGGGACAACCTGAGTCATCCTTGTGGTGCTGGGAAATGTTCTGTATCTGACTGTTTCAATGTCAGAATGCTGCCTATGATATGATATTGTACATGGTTTTGTAAGATGTTGCTTTTGGGAAAACTGAGCAAATGACACAAAGGATCTTTTCCGTATTTTTTTTATGCTGAAATAATTTTGCAGATTAACAAGATGCTGAGGTAAATAAGAATACACCTGGCAATGAAAGTATTAATTATGAGTCTTGATTCTATGTAATCAATAAGTTATTTCTGTGATTATTTTCCCCTATAGTTTTCATATCTGAAGGTGGAGGTGAGATATTGGAGAGAATCCTAAAGACTTAACTTAAAAAGATAGAAGATAAACTGTACCATACATTGCATACAGAGCAGAGTGAATGAATGTAAACTGTTTATCCTGGTTAGTGTGATTGACTGTTCAATTATTGGAAAGTTTATTTAAATACACGGACATTGTTCCTTTGGTGTCTACAGCACTGCTTTCACGCTTACCCATCAAGTTCAGCTTAATTTCTGCTTCAGCTATGAAGTTCTTCTTGACTGTCAGAAGTCCTACTGATTTCTGCCTCCTAGGAACTGGTAGATTCTAATCAATGAGATTAATTTTAACAAAGCAATCTTACCCATCTTAGTGTTTTCTGCTGAAAGCTATTTGACCTAGATGGGAATGAACATTTCCTGAGCTGGGTTCATATTGTCCTAACATTGTTGTGAAACTCATTTACAGAAAGTTTGGATCAAGTGCTCTCTCGGCTGCCTGCATCTTGCTTCTCTAAACTCAATTATTTCTTGGTTCTGCATGTACTTCCACACAGTGATATTTGATATTTTTTTCATCTATCACTTTTTTCCCTCAAGAGGACAATAATTTTCTCAGGGCAGCAATGAGTATTATGTGATAAGTATCCATGATACTTGTTGACTTAATGAACTTACTACTAAAATTTTCAGAAAAGAAAGAACTCTGAACTAAGACATTTTCTCTTCAACAACAGTAAAAGATAATTAGGCATGAGAAACAGGCGTGGTAAGCCCTTAAATGCAAGACAGGAATGATGGTCATTGAATCTTTATTGCTACCAGTTCATGAATGCCAGAGAGCCATCTGTTCAATGTATGTGTATTTCTGCCTGGAAGAAGATGACCAGTTCACTATGACCCACTGACTTCCTCTCTGGTTGTATCATTCTAGACTCATGGGATTCTTGGCTTAATTCTCCAAGAAAAAGAAAGCTGCCTTCATTTTCCACTTAAATTTCAGCTACTGTGAAATTAGCCATGACTGTCTTTTGCCAGTAAAACCCATAAGTAGATAGTAGACTCTAGAGTGATAAAGGCCTCCTTTATTTGGCATCTGTGTTGCCATTCCTAATGTGTTTTCTAACTCATGCGTGATGTCTGAGTAAGTTCGAATGAAACCATATTTATTATGTTCTCTGTTCTTTTAAATAACAAAACAGATTACTGTGTTGTTATACAGATGTGTCGTGGGTTGAACGCCAACTCTAGGAGCCTGCAAAGTCTCGCCTGCTTTCCTGAGAGAGTGTGAGAGGTGCGAATGACATTTAAAGGGAGTTTCTTGAATGTTTTGTGTTGGATTTTGCATGGGCTACGCCCGCCTGATTGCTTTGTGCAAGATGTTGCTGGGCTGTTCTGCATAAAAATACATGTCATGTTAATTAATTTCACAGGGAAACGAATCTTAAAGTCCGTCATGCGCTATCAGTTACCTCAGAACTCGGAGCAGAAATTAGCAGACTCGCAAAGTTTGATGGTAAGTATTTAAAACAGACAAACAGAAATCTCTATACCAAAAAATAATGCAGCAAACTAAATCCATCTGAAAACCAATTTAAGGATTTTTTTTCTTTTAATTTGGTGGAAAGACGTAAAATTCTCCAGGCATCAAAGCCTGTAATCTCTTCTCACGCTCAAGACGAAAAAGTTTACCAAGGAGAAAAGGGCTTTATCAGTTCATTGTTTATTTCTTCCCTGTTTTCTCTTCTCTGAATTACATTCCCTCTTGTCCCACAATACACTTCTCTTGCCTGACCTTGGCCTCCCTGGAGCCTTGTGCAGGCTTGCTGAGGATGAATACAGGTCATTCTTACTTCTAGCTCTAGATTTAACCATCCATTCATTCTTGGGTTACATAACAAAAGAGCAAACAGTAGACTGCACACATTATGGAGAAAATAGTCCTGCCTCCTATATATCTCTATCTTGCATCGTGCCTGGTGTAATGTCTTAAAGATAGCAGTGTTCAGGAAGAATATTCCAGTTTATAAACAAATGTTTATAGAAAAAAGTTCTCTAGTTTGAAATTGAAGTCAGCAGCACAGCCAGGAAACTTTGAATGGCCCAAAAATATTTTGATTAGCTTAAAACAAATTGCATATTTTCGACTAAGTAATTTTTTTCAATGAAATTTTACTGTTACATGAATCCAAGAAAAGTAAATTGTGTCCATGAATCAAAATACTTGCTTAAAATACCTCATAGAATAATTATGGAGTCCTAAAAGGGCAACCTAAATATAATTCATCATTACTCATTTCTTTCCTGGCAGAATCATCTGTCTTCCCTTTATCAATCTGCGAGGAAGTAAAAATTCACAATTTTTGTTTTATTTAATGTTACAAAGCAGAAAGTGATATAATTACCAGTTCACCTCCTTTTGTAGATACTTTTACTGATAGCCTACACATTGATTTAGTACCACGCGTCCTTGATATCTTAGTGGCATAAACAGTGATAGCTGAATTCTTGCTCACATCACATTCTGTTGTGGGTTTGGTGGCACACTACATCAGGTAGCCACGGTGCCTAGATTAATGCCCTCTAAGTTCAGCACAGCAAAGCAGGGATGAGCTGAAAGAGACACACTTCTTCCTCACACATTTCATTGATAGCACAAGTCACATGAACTGAACTACTTGCAAGGGAGGCTGGGAAATAACAAGTATAGATATTTGTTGAGTAATAATTGTCTCTCCCATACCCTCTAGGAATTCTGACATTAGATCAGTGCCAGGATAGTGTAGAAAGATCCAGGCTGGAGTAGGTAGATTTCTTATATGGAACAAAAGGAATATGTCCCCCTCTTCAGTGTGATTTCTCATATTCTCAGCCACCCTACACTGTTGACATTCTCTTCTCATAGCCATCTGGTCTACCATCTGGACTATTCCATAACTTACCTATTTCCTACCTTTATTATCTGTTTTCCATCTCTACCTGTTGCAGTGAAAGCTGCACAGGGATCTTTGTTTTGTTCACTGGGAGACACCAAGCTCCTAGAACAATGCTTCGCACACGGTGGTGCTCAATAAATACTTGTTGAGTGAATGAAAACTTGCCGGTGCCATAGGCTCTGCACCAGGTCCTAAGTAAAGAGACAAGGAATGGAGTGTGAAACAGTGTGGTGAGGAGTAAGTTTTCTGATGGGGCTGGTAGGATAAAGCAAGAGTGTTCGGTCCCCTGCTCCTAGAGGGCCAGTGGCTGGAAAAGGGACAACCTGGCATTGTGGTTTTATAATGTCTTTTCTTTAAAATTTTCTAGAGATAAAAACACAAAACTCCAAAATTTAAAACAATCCAAGTGTGGTGCCGCAAGAGAATCCTTCCTCATCTAAAAACCATTCCTTTATTACAGATCAGCTATCCCTAGAGGGTAAAGGACTTGTTAATATATAAAAATAGTCTTTTAAAATACTTTATAAAATTTATTTTTTAAGTGAATTAATATTATTTCTTAGGGGTGGTCTGAATTTACTTTACACAGCATAGGTAACTTACCAAATCTCTAATCTGTAATTGTTTTTCCAAATAAAGTCAAGACAGGGCTCTTTTCAATCATTTACACTTATACTGTGGTCACTTTTCAGAGAACATGTAATGCCAAATTCATGAGGCTGGTATATTTCTGGGCCAAGAACCAAGTTTCTGCTAAATTTGCTCTTTCATTCTTAAATCTTGGGTTGAATTTCAATGTACCTTAACGTTTAAGACATTATAATATTTTGTGAGGTTAGTTTAATTAAAATACGATTTCCTGTTTTCAAGAAAGCATCTGAAGAATGACTGGAAGGATTAAGGAGGAATGAATTAAATGTAATATACAAATTAGATTTTTCCCTGTTAGCAGCCAAATTTAAAGACCAAAATGGTGATGCAAGATATAGTATGGAAAAGTATCTGAAAGAATTGGAACAGTTAACAGACACATAATCCTCCCTACGATCACTCTTACTTTTCTATAGCCTTCAGCTTTTCTTCCATTCTCTTACCAAGTCCTAGTTCACAGGTTTTCATTTCAATCTCTGTCTCTCTGACACACACATTCACATACCCTACACTGTATACACACGTATATATGCACATTTTTCTACCCCATTTCACCAATCCTCTCATACTTTTTTGTCTCATTTTTGCTATTTTCTTTGCATCTTTTTCTCCTATTTATGTTGATTTACTTATTTTTCTCACATATATGTGTCTTTTTCTGTTATTCTCTACTTTCATGCTTTTATCACTCAAATGAATCAGTTTAAATCTCTTCATAAGGACAAGATGCAACAGCATCTTGGAACTTTAAACAGTGGAAATTTAAAGTATCTCCACAGGCATTCTCAGAATTATTTTGATCCCTTTAACCCCTACCCCCATTCTTTTTCTACCTTTTCTTTTAGGCTTCCCTATGTACTTTTGTCATAATGGGGTGGCAATAGATTTCAGGTTTTCCTCTGGTGACCAGAAAAGACTTCCTTGGGTTATGGGAATTAAAACCAGATATTACATCCCTTCGTTTAAATTACAAGTATGGTATTGTTAGGGGGAAAGGATGTCCTGAGATAATCTCATACAGGCTTTGTGGACTCCACCCCCACTCCAGACTAAAGCCATCAGGACATTGGGAAAGACAAATCCCATCACCACCAAGGGGAGGGTGGCTGGGACCTGAGGGTGGAGTTGGGCAGCCAGGTTGGATATAAAAACCAAACACTTGGGCCTTGCTGGCTCTCTGGCTCGCGATCGCTCGCCTCCTGGCTTCACGGCTCCTGGCTGGCGGCCAGCTCTCAGAGCGCCATTTTGGGATTCCTGATCGGCGGATCGGGTAGGACGCATTTAAAACTTTGTCTCCCACTTTTCTCCCAGAGCTGTACATTTCCTCATTTCCCTTTCCGTTGTAAATAAACCTTTTATTAACCTTTCACGTGTGCCTGCAGTAGAGCATTGATAAGTCCTTTTAAGCGCGCGGGTGAGGACCCACAGTCAGGCACCCCGTTTTGTATCGGGGTTGCTCTACAACAGTATCAGCTCTGTTTGCATTTGGGAATGCCCCGCCTCACCATGGCAAGGTTAAGCGATGAGGCAGACACAGGAGGCACTCCCTCTCCCATGCTCTGTCTGTACTAAGTATAGCTTGTAGCTTGTGACTTCTGGGCAAATCTGGGTATGACATTATTTTTGCTTCTAGTTCCCCTGTGGTTTTTCTTCCGAGGCTTGCGAGAATGCTTTCTTTAGCACCAAACTACAGTTTTCTGAGCTTGTAACATAAGTGCACATTGAAAGTGCATGTTCCGTGTATCCAAAGACCTGAGTTTCCCACTCCTATCCCTGGAGACATCTGCACTGGGGGGCTCTCCAATGGGGACACCAAGGGTCAAAGATGAGTGAGAAGGATCTCAGGATGTCTCCTGTAAGGCTCTCTACCTCGCCACTTTTGCCCCTAAACCCAAAGACAGCGTCTTACTAGTGGCCTCCTTAGGAATGGCATAAGCTTCTCTCTTTTCATTCAATCTCCCAGTCACCTGTTCTTGCACTAAGCAAATGTATGTTTAACATGATGCCAGGGGCTTTGCTAAACTTGGGGATATAGTGATTAGTAAGTTGGACTCAGGCTTTGTTTTCAAAGAGTTTATAGCTGAGGGGAGAATCATCTCAGTGTTCATCCCCAAAGATGTCTTTAATTAGGTAAAAGTCCAAAGTTCATAGGCCCTAATTGTGGTTTATATATGAACAAGTGTTCACTATATAGGAGGCATTATACTAATTAATTACACACATTATTTAATTAAATCCTTATAGTCATGGGTGGAAGAGATTATTATTATCTCTATAGGCAAGGAATCCAAGACCCAGCTAAGCTGAATAACTTTCCCAACCCCAATGTCACATGGTTACTAAATACGGGAGCCAGAGTATGAACACAGGGCTGTTGGTTGGCTGTTGTATGAGAGGACACTAGACTTAACGAGCAGAAAGCAGCCATGGGGAGTTAGGGTATGATCAAGTCCATCCAGCACTCAGATGACAATATCATATATTTAAACATCAGAATTGAATGTCAGAATCCTTAACAAGAGTTTAGAGAAGAGCTGGTCAAACAGAGAGAAGAGCGCATGCAAAATAGAGTGGGGTTTGGTAGGTAAACACATTTATTTGAAAAGTTCTCATGTAAATATTTTTTACATTTGGGACATCAGGGGCCTCCCCCAGTGGTGCAGCGGTTGAGCACTGGGCTGCGAAGCTGCCTGCAGCCTCTGCAGCACCGGTTCGATCCCCAGCCACCAGCGAGGGTCCCACATGACATGACAGACCTCTCCTGCCGCCCACTGCTCCCCCCAGTAGTGTATTTCTTCGTCAGTCTGTCTGTTCTGCTCCCCGCTCTGGCTCTGGTGAATTTTCTCACCCTCCCTCGCTTCTGACTATACGCAGTGCTTGTATAAATAAATAAAATAAATCTTAAAAAAAAATAAAAAGATATACATTTTGGACATCAGAAAAATACTGATATGTAATGTGAATTTTATAAGAAAGATATGTAACTTGATTTGACATTATAATAAATATAAAAATAGTGGACCTTGATTTTTCATGTTAAAGTCTTACCAGAATCAGACAGTTTTTAAAATGAGTAACTGGAATAGTTGTCGATTAATTCATTTGAAAACTAGACATGCTTATACCTTGGGGAAAGCCCCGGATGTAAATTGTCCAAATGTGTTTAAGAATCTTTTGCATATTGTAACTGGGCTGAGATCTGTGTTTTGCAACTTATGACAAGTTTACATATTTTGTATGACTGTTAATACTGAATTCTGAACCAGGGAAAGGTTGACTCTTTATTTCAGGAATCTTGTGTGTTTTGTGGTCCTTTCTAAAGAATAGCATGTGTCTAATTAAAAAGAAAAGCAAGCATCTCCTTTTGGTTAAAAAGAAAACAAAAATACTTGGTTAGCATCTTATGACTTTTTTTTTTTTTTTTTTTAGCTCACCAGATAGGTTCCCCTTTACCTGGACAGAAGCACAACCCAATAACATAGCTGATGTCTCTGTATAAGACATCGATTCCATGTAAAGATATGAAGAATAGCTTCCTTCTTTACTGCTGGTGTTGATGTGGTGATGATGGGTGGCTGAGGCTTGATGGCTGAGGAGAAAAGAAACTTTGGGTAATTTGAAGGTGACACTTTCCTTCTTAATGAAACATATACTGATCACAATGGCCAGGGCTATAGTGGTGACAATCTTTTAAACTCTAAAATGAGCTTGGCTGTAGAAGCTCTTGAAAAGATGTCTTCATCAATAGATCATTTTTTTAATGAAAGTGTTTCAAGTTAGATAAACAATAAATATTACTAATAATAATATACATAAAGAAAGCCAATTTCTCATGAAAATCATGGACTGCTGGATACTGGGTTCCCTTTTCATGGTAGACTACTAATTTCCATGTTGAGGTAAATACTTTAGTTTGAGAAGGGTTTGAAGTTTGGAATTGACCAACTATACAGCTGAATTCAGAGTGCTAAGGAAGATCCAGAATGAAATCTTGTAGACTTTGTTTTGTATGTGCCTTGATTATTTGGGTGCTTGTAAACTGTATGAATTGCAATCTCTTTCAATCTGTTTGCTTCAAAGGAACAAACAAAAGGGACTAGCTAGTTTGATTATATTTACACTTTATAGTCATGATTTTTTCCCTACTTGTTCTGTTGCCCACTAAAGATGGCTTTGTGTATGAAATAACTGCGTGAGACACCATCTTATTTTTCTGAACGGTTTCTTCATCCATTGTCAAACTGTTCACTGCCTCTCTCTTTCCTGTACAATTTACAAAAGGAAGAAAGGACTTAAAAGAGTTTTCCCTCATCTATTTTATAACTTTCTGGTTCCTTCTAAGGTGCTTTAAGGTTTCCTCCTTTATTCACTGTTCTCAGATCTATTTGCAGCGCCTTAGAGTTAGGCTAACATAAGCCCCCTGGTGCAACATAAGTCCAGTTGTAGCTGGACAATCCTCTTTACTACTATAACCAGGGAAATGTACCCATTTCTTTAATTCATTTTAAATCTTCTCTAATCCCCAGCTCATCTCCCAACATTTCTCTTGAAGACATCTGAAAACCTTCCCATCCATCTCTCTGACATATTTCCTAAGATTCTGCTATGTAAACCGTATGGTGGTTTGTGGAGACACAGATATGAATGACACAGTGCTCCCTTCAGAGGACCTTGTTTACCACTTTGGAAAGAGGCAGAAAAGAAATTGGGACACTTGTGTTTAATTCTAACAATGTTACGGAAGGGGAAGCTGAGTATTTCTGAAGATATAAAAATGTAGTTTGGCTTTGTTCCTGCCATTTTATTTTGACGGGGTCTTCTATTTAGTACTTAAGACACCGGGATCGCATTCGTCGATGAAGGCTGAATTGGGGCTTGGCCTCCAAGCACTGAGGCAGAACCCCTTGGCCTTATTGCCTGTTCCTGTCTAGAACCACACCCTTGGTGTCAGGCCAGAGTGGATAAGCCTTGGGGCCAGGGAGGAGCAAGTCAACATGTTCAAGGCTGTATTTGCCTCCATGTCAGTCTTTGCTTGCGACAATAAAAAATGATCAAATGAGCCTGTTTTTTATATTCCTATTGGCAGGGAGTGTGTATCATGTTGTTTTTGCCCAAAGCACATTTTTTTTTTTTCCTAATTGCCAAGTCTGAAGCCTGAGAAATTGAGTCTTGGGTCAAGAAACTAGACTAAGCCGCAAGGGTTGCTGTCAACCTATTATTTTATGTACGTGTTATTGGTGATACTCAACTCCAGGTTCTGATAGTTCAGGAGTGAACGTTATATGTCAAGAAAAATACATACTAAATTCTTGCCATTTAGAAAAAAATGTCTTCCACAACATAATTGTCCAGACAACTTGGTTTAATTTACCTTTTAGTATCAGCGATAGGCTCTAATAGGAGCAACCCGCAGAATTTAGGCACTTTAATTTGTATAAAAAATGACCTTTTATAGGTTATTTGGCCTCATCCACATTGTCTTGTCAGTATTCTCACTTAGCAGTGATGTCTGGGAAAATGCTAGTGAGTACCCAGGTGGGGGTCTTGAGGTGGTAATTTTGTTAAGCTGGAGAAAAGGAGGAGGAGCTTGGAAAATATGTCCTGAGGGCTTGAATCCCTCATTCTTTTCAGGGTTTTGTTTGTTTTTGTTTTTTTTTGTACAAGATCTACTAAAGCCAGTAATCTGGTTGGTCAAGGAAGATCAGGCTTTGTGAAAACTGCCTGCTGTCACCTGTGTCTAAGAGTTAGGAGAAAGACAGCATCCTAGGAAGAATGGAGCCTATGCTAGTCTCAAAGTTCAGAAGGTGCTTGGGGAGTGGTGCAGAGGTGTGATGCAGAGGTTGTCCAGGTTGACCAGCTCTCCTTCCCTTTCAATCAATGCTAAAGACATGATTTTGTCTTTTTATTTTTAATTTCCAAATGCCACTTTTCACAATCCAACCTTTGACTTCTGATTACATAAATGTATTTTTACTGTTTTTGAAAGAGAGAATTTTGTAGGTTATCTGACTACTGACTCTGCCTTGACATCTGTTTGGATCCACTGACAACAACCTCATTTTTTTTTTCATTCCTTCTCTCTCTTTTCCTTTCTGTTTCCCTCTGTCTTTCAGTTACTCACTATTTATAAAAAATTAACCCCGACTGTTGCAGGGCAAATGTATCTTAATCTAATACTTACATTTTGTGATGGATTCATGCAAGATTATTTCTGGTTTCTTTTTCTATCAAGAAAACCCCCACCCTGAAAGTGCATTTTCTTATTGAAATAATGGAACGAATTGATTTATTGATTTGGAATGGGCACGCTCTTGGTTTGGAATGGGCTTGGAATTTAAAGGAAAAAAAAACAGCAAAAAACTCGAAACATCTTCTGGCCAGTTAGGGGCAAGTTATATGGTGCCTTTGAGAGTCCCCAGAACTCTGAATCTAATCAAGATAAGAAGCATGGAACAGCTGAAAGGAATCACACGCATTCTCAGGCACATGTGGCAAACAAGGCCCAGGTTTCTTAAGGGTACAATAGAGTAGGACCCCCAAAATTCTGAGTATGAGCCTACGAAGACCTGATTATCTGTGCTTGTGAAACTGGAGCTCTGTGCCATGTTGACCTGAGTGATAGTTCATACGAAGCAAAAAGAGACAGATGAGAAATACTTCTAGGACAGTCCTGTTTTGTCTTTGTCATTTGTTTCAAACTAAAGGAGAGAAAAGTAATTTATTTTAAGGTAAAAAAATCCCATGACGCTTGAGGTTTCTGTTCTTCTTGGGACGCTGCAGAAAGGTATGGATTTCCATCCAAAGATGGATTTCCATCTTTGTGCCCTCTGGCTGCTTTTTTCCTAGCACCATCCTGCAGATGTATGACAGAGCTGTCTCAAAGAGAAAGGAAAATGTACTGTGTATTAGAAGTTGGGTGGTAACACAGTACTGTGGACTTGAGGTTTCGAGTCTTAAAGATGTTTGGTTCTTTTTATTTTTATTTTACAGGGGTTGTTGCCTGCGAGGCACCTAACAACAGATTAGATAAATTCACAGGAGTCCTCTCTTGGAAGGACAGCAAGCACTGCCTCGACAACGAGAAGATGATCCTGAGGGGCTGCGTCCTGAGAAACACCAGCTGGTGTTTTGGGATGGTTATCTTTGCAGGTACACCTGATGGCCCGGGGTTGATTCTAGGAGAGTCTTTCCTGAGCTATGTATCAGCAGAGTCTGGGGCTCCTGGGGTGCACAGTCTTGGGTGGGGACCTGCTCTGTGTGTCTGCAATGGGCAGGGGCACCAGGGGATGACACCGCTGCTCTACAAAAAGATTGTGTGGTCCTATTATGTGAGGAAGGTCTGGCATCATCAACTTCTCCTTCAAGGTGTTTGGGCCCTAATTACCTGTGGGGACTAGATACCTACTGCTTGATTTTGGCTTATTTTATCTATCTATCTATCTATCTATCTATCTATCTATCTATCTATCTATCTATCTATGTATTTATTTTTACCCCCATCTTAATCATCCCCATCATTGTCTGTATTAATCTAGCTGTCCTTAAGGTAGGGATTGTGGAATAAAAGCTCCCTACTCTGCTATTAATTTTGTAATTTGCAAAGGTCCAGCAGCCTTTTAAACATTTTTGTAGTTCCTACAACCATACCTGTCTGTATTAATCTAGCTGTCCTTAAGGTAGGGATTGTGGAATAAAAGCTCCCTACTCTGCTATTAATTTTGTAATTTGCAAAGGTCCAGCAGCCTTTTAAACATTTTTGTAGTTCCTACAACCATACCTGTTTATACTTCATAGCTTTTTCTACTGTTTGTCAATAGGATGGTGAATCCTGGGAAGACTAGAAAGGAGGCAAGGTGCTCCTTACTTTTCCTGATTACTTTTCCTGATTACTTTTCCCCTTTCTCTGCTTTATCTCTACAGGTCCAAGGGGGCACTCTCTTGCTAAGGAAGCTTACAGTAGCACCATTTCATACAGCTACTCAAATTGTACTCATGGCTCCAATTGCCAGCCCTTGATTTTTAAAAATCCTGTTTATTGTGACACCAAATTAAGATGTGTTTTGGGCTCGTTGACTGTATGTGCAATCAAAACGGGAATGTTTTTCTTAACTGAGTTTCCTTAACAACAACAAAATGTTCATTAAAGACGCAAAAGTGTTCCAAACCTAAAAAAGTCCTCCAATTCCTCTTAAACATTCTCAGCTGTGGGTGTTAGCCAGTCTGTGGCTGCTTGGGGCATTGCCATTGTCAGGACCTGGGGAATCCCTAGAAATGAGACAGTATATGTGCTTTTATCTAGGGTGAATATGGTTCCATAATTTTCTCGTTAGATACTTTTATCAGGGAAGTAAACCTAGGATTGTGTATTTCCTTGCTTGCTTCTTTCTTGCATTGAGAAAAAGAGAGCTAGCTAATATATCAACTTGCCTTTACCTTTCAATTTAATGAAACAGAATCTTCCTGAAGGTCCTGTGATGCGCAATATCCTCCTGGTTTTCTCCCTGTCATTAAAGAAATGGGGGTGCTTCATCCTAGGAATAGGCAGTAGCCCAAAATTTTGCTTGCATATGTATGATCTTATTTGAAATGACTAATTCAGGCCTATGGTTCAGTGATAGCATGTTTTGCTAGGACAGCTGCTATGAGCCACTCAGCGGCCAAGTTTTTCTTCATAAAGTTGGCTAATGGGAAAATGTTACTACATGGAAGGATTCTTCCTTCCCTGGTGCTATGTTGAAAGGGTCTCCCTCCAAGGAAGCATAATAGAAAGTTCACAAATTTAGATTGGGCTAATCTGGTTTCAGATTTGTTTACCAGCTGTAGGATATTAAACCTTGGTTATTTAAACTTCCTAAACTGTAGTTTCTTCCACTATAACTTGGGGATAATAATGAGTCCATTAGAGAACCACTGTAAAGACTCAATGAGATAATGCATATGGGAGATGTTTGACAAGTGTTGGTGTTTTTCTTCCTTCTTTGCTGCTCCCTTCTTTCATCATCAATTCAGAGTTTATTGCCTGCTCCACAGGCTGTGAGCTATACTCTCTGGATCTTGGCAAGGGGAAATTAGGGGGATACTCTCTTCTATGGTAATGTGGTCTGGAAGTTCACTTACAGGGACCTGCACGAGGCAGATATTTGTAAAGTGGACCATGCTACGTTGATTTTAGTCTGTGTATAAATATTAATAGAAAGTTTAACTAGAAAACAGTAGGCAGAGGAATTAGTGGTTGGTTTTGTTAGCGTCAGATTTGAACAGATGGGTGTTTGAAGTCCCCTAAGTCTTGAGACATTTCCTTTGGAGAACTAGTTTTAAGTGAACAACTAGCTGTTATGAAAATTAGTCAAAATGAATTAAATCTCTTTTTGTGTTTATAGTTACCATTAAGGATTGTGCAAGGAATATAGTTGACCTACCATTGAAGGATTGTGTAAGAACTATAGTTGATCTACCATTAAGGATTGTGCAAGGAATATAGTTGACACAGACATGATTTAATTTACAAATCTATAATTTATGAGGGTCTAATATGTATTAACAGCTAGGTCATACCTCCCTGGTAGTAGTATTTCCTTTGTCCTCAAGAAAGGATAAAGTCTTATTTCTGAGGGTAGAAGTCTTGTTCATTTAAGGAGTCCATAGGAGTCAGTGCCATCTTGGTGTATACTAGGCTTTTGTGCTTGATATCTTCCATTTGCCTCATAAATCTACTCTCTTTTCTTCCTACTCATCTTTCTACCTTGGAAAGCTGACTTGTGTGGTTTTCATTAACAGGTTTCCTTGAACTTTGATTTCTAAGTTGGTTCTATTATTGGAATCCATGAGAAGAGATTAAAGGGAAAAAGAAGACTGAGGTCAAGATATTATTTCCCCAGGCTGCCTCCTTGTATGGTCACTTCAGACTGGTTCAACAAAAGAGCAGTCTTCCTCTGAAGGATGCAAATTCTACATCTCTCTCTTTCTTAGTATCCAATAACCACACCCACCCACCATCCCTCCCTTCTGACTTATGTGAAGAAACATCTAGATTGCCACCAAGTCCTTGGTTACTGTACTAACCCTTTGTTTTTCCATAGTTAAACTTACAATTCTGTGAATTAATCTCCCTCCATTTATCCTTGTCCCATGCATCATCTACTTCTTTTTACAACTCTGAATGAGTCAGTCTTCAATACACATTTATGAAGTCAGGAAATTAATTAATTGACTATTTCATATGGTTTTAAAAATATTAAAACTCTTCTAGTAAGAACTTTAGACTTAGATATATTCAGGTTCAAATTCTGACTCTCACACTTACTAAAGAAATCTCAGTAAGTTACTTGAGTTCTTTAGCCCTCAGTTTCATCTTTAGTGAAGTATAAGGATAAAAGCATTTTTTCCCAGTTTTAAACATTAGCTGAGACAATAGAGAAACAGTATATATGCACATTGCCTGAGATATGCAGATTAATGAATTAAGTCATTAGGCAATTATTTGTTACAGGCCTACTGTGTGCCAGGCACTGGGCTAGTTAACTCATTTATTATTAAGAATTCAACAAAAACAAATACAGGTCCTTCACAAGAGTGAAACGACTGGTAGGAAACAGATAGACTTGTGGGAAGGATAGACATTAATCTCCTATAATTATAGTAGTGAATACATAGTCTTAAACTTAGCTAAATGTTTTGAAGAAAAAGAACACTGACTCACAAGAGTATATAATGAAGGAGTGTGAAGGGAAACAAAAGCAAACTGAAAGACTCATCATAAGTAAAGGCCCTAGGGTACGAGTGACCACAGTGAGATTTTTTAAAAACAGACAAACAAGCAAATTTAAACAAGGGCAGTGTAGACCATGGAAACCTTGGAGGAGAGGAATGGACATGTCACTGGAGACATGGGTAGGAGCTGAGCCATGCAAGACTTTGTGTTCTGTATCTAGAAGTTTGATCTTTATCCTAAGAGCATTGGGAAGCCATTGCAAATTTTCCAAACAGGTGATGAGTATGCATGTGTTAAATCTGATAGCTCTACTCTTCCCTATATTGTTAAGTTAGTAAATAGATAGCAGATTCTGGGGAGAGTATAAGATTGGGGAGGGTGTGGGGAAGGAGGAAAATTATTGAATGGAATTGGTACCAGAGTGGAAGTAAAGAGAGAATTATTAGGCTTTTATTATGGAAAGTTGAGAGATGATGGTTCTTTGGATGGGGGAAGTCATGGAGATAGACTAGACTCCTTGGTTTCTCCCAGCTTTCACACATGGACTGAGAGTGGGGCCATTCACAAAGACAAATAACATTGGAGGGAGGTCACAATCTGGGCAGAGGAACTTGAGGGGTTTAGAAAGATCCAGGAGGAGTCTGGATGTCACATAGGTATTAAATAAATGGGTTTAAAATATATGGGTTTAGAGCTCAGAGGAGCATTGAGAGCTGGAGATAGACATCTGTCCTATAGATGGTACCTGGATTTCTGGTCTTAAGTGAGATTTCCCAGAGTGGATGGATTGAGAAAGAAGAGAGGATAGCCAATTTTGAGTCTTAAGGAATTCCAGTATTTAGTGACTGGATAGAGAGGGATGAGCTTCATGGGATATAAAGAAGGAGCTAACCAAGAGGTAGAAGGAAAAGCAGGAGAACGTTGTAACTCAGAGGGAAGAGTGTCACAAAAGTAGAATAGTCAACAGTGTCAAAGGTTTCAGAGACATTAGAGAAGATATGGACGATACTAATAATACCAGATTTGTTTTGGTGGAATGATTGACCCAGAAACTAGGTCGAATAATGAGTCAGAGATGAGGAAATAGGAACAGTTGAATATAGAAAAAATTTCAAAATCTGTGTATATGAGAAGAAGAGATGTGTATATTAGCATCTGTAAATATATTTAAATAAATGCTTAAAAAGCCCATTAAGGGAAAAATTTGCTGGTGTATATGTTTGGATGCTTCACGAAAGTAAATTTCTAGCATAGAACTGTCAATGTTTCAGCATGTAGCAATCAAAAACTTTATATGCTTGTTGTGATCTTTATTATAAAAGAAACCTTTCCCATTCTCAATGTCCTTATGATTTTAATAACTGATTCAGAGAAACTGTGGGTCGTTTCCTTTACACAGCTGTGGCTGGGAAGAATACACTGGGGCACAATTTCCAACTCAAGACTATGGATTGTTAGGAGATCCCAATCATATTTAATTGCCCCCCAATTCACTTTGTCTTTTAGGTAAATGAAAATCTTTTAAAGAGGTACTGGTCCTCCCTGAATTTCAGGATGACTTATAGTTTCATGTGTCCCTCTCTTCTCTTCTATCTTTCATTTCCCCTGTTCCCTTGTATTAAATAGGTACATGGATTGAAGTTACTTCTGGTAAATCAGTGTGAGAAGGGACAGTGAAAAAGATATAATTAAAGCTTAAGTGTGTCTATTGAGCATCTTCTCTGTCCCCAAGGAATTTTCTTAACAATATGTTCCAGTATTCTTCTATGTTTTTTTTTTTTAAGATTTATTTATTTATACATACATACTTCTGTAGGCCAGAAGTGTGTGTGTGGAGGTGAGAGGATTCACCAGAGAGAGTGGGGAGCAGAACAGGCAGATTGACTGAAAACACTGCTGAGGGGAGCAGAGTGCAAGTCAGGAGAGGTCTGCTGCGCCATGTGGGTAGCTCTCTGGTGGGCTGGGGATCGAACTCTCCTGCTGCAGAGGCTGCAGATAGCTTCATTGTGCTGTGCTTAACCCCTTGTGCCACCAGGGAGGCCCCTCCAGTATTATTCTTTGTTAATCGTTCAGTAACTTACCTCTAAGTCAGTTAATAATATTCTTATAGAATTACTTGAGCAGGAGATATAGTAAATATATCATAAAATGTTGTATTGTATTTATCTTGAATATGTCTAACACAAGCTTTAAAGTAATTCTTGTCCTAATAAATAGTATATATTCTATACAGTGTGCAGTATATAATAACTGTTTTAATTATTTGTTGATAGACCTTTGAAATTACTCTAGCTTCTTTGCTAAAGATATGCCAAATCTTTTTGGAAAATGGATCCCCAAATTTATTTATTATATTAACTTTCCATTATGACATTATTGATCTGCATTATACTTATTACTGTGTTGTTTTTATCATTTAAAATTATTCCTTACTTTTATTGAGTTCATCTTAAACTGCCTCAAACTACAAGCATGTTCATATACAGATTTTAGAAAATAGCATTTAATCAACCTTTCAGCTGCAAGTTCTTTCTGAATTTCTCTTATTCTAAGGAGAACAGTTTCCAAGGGTGTTGTAAACCACTAATTGTGAATCATGTACAACTTAATTGTCTTTGCTCTTAATAAAAGTGCTATTATTAAAAAAATTGACATATTTTTCCTTTTAGGAACATTTGAAATAAGTAGAAATCAATAATAATAGTAATAATAATAATACATTTCAAAGTTGTTACTTATTTTTTTTTTTCTTTTCAGGTCCTGACACTAAACTAATGCAGAACAGTGGTAAGACAAAGTTTAAAAGGACAAGCATTGATAGGTTGATGAATACTCTAGTATTGTGGGTAAGTTATAAAATTAGGAAATATCAGTACTCACTGTTATCTTAACATATGTTTCAGAAATCTGTAAATTTCTCCTGTGAAATTTGTGTTTGGGGATTTGCATTTTGGGTCTAATTTGCCCTCTATCTTCTAGATAATAATTTCTCAACCATTGTTAGAATTTCTCATGAGAAATGGGTTAGTGCTTATATTTCAAAGTCTGACAAGTTCCTCTTAGTTGAGGAATTTGCAAGTTCTCAATAGTTGAGAGATTTGTTTCTGAAAAAACGAAGCATAATTTAAAAACTAGTTTTGGGGTTTCTTTTTTTGGTCTTATTTTTCCTTGCTTATTTCCTCTCTACACAGTTTATGGAGAATATTGGCTTCATAGGTGAATGACTTGTAGTTCCATAGACCTCCACCCAGAAACAGAAGGTCTCATGCTTGACTTACTCATCTGCCTTCTCTATGGAATTAATACTTTTTGAGCAAGGCTTCCTGCCTTTTAAAGTAGGCCCTGAAAATTATGTAGCTGATTCTGCTGGTGAATCCTCTGAAGTTCAAGTCACAGTTCTCTTTCATGAAGATGTCTAAACCCCCTATCCATGTTTATCTTTCCTCTGAAATTATATCAATAATATTTAATAATTTATCACTTGTTTACAAAAAAACTCAAGCATTGATTGTATCCTATCCTTGTCAGTTAATCTTGTCACCTCATAATATCAATCTGTTGTTATTTGACTTTTTATGCAAAAGTGTTTTTCTTCCTTATATGGGGGTTAAGTTTGAAGACAGTGACTCAGAACCATGTTTATACCTGCCCCATCACAGGCTTATTTTTTTTAAAAAATATATTTTATATAATTCTTACATCATTTTTCATTTTTTAAATTTAAATTTTATTTTTATTTATTTATTTATTTTTTTTTTTTTAATAGAGGCATGCTTTATTTATTTGTTTGCTGGTTTCTTTGTTTGTTTTGTTTATACATGCACTGGGTACAGTCAGAAGCGCGGGAGGGCGAGAGAATTCACCAGAGCCAGAGCGGGGAGCAGAGCAGGCAGAAGGACCGAAGTACACTGCTGAGGGGAGCAGCGGGCGGCAGGAGAGGTCTGCGCGCCATGTGGGACCCTCCTCCGGTGGCCGGGGAGCAGCCGGGGATCGAACCGGCGCCGTAGAGGCCGCGCGCAGCTTCGCAACCCAGCGCTCAACCGCTGCGCCACCGGGGAGGCCCTAAATTTTATTTTTATATTCCCCATACAATTACTTTATTTTGACCCCAACCCTCCTTTCCCCACCCCCCACTTCCCACAGAGTGTCTCTGGTTCATAATTGTTTGTTGATTTTGATATTTTCTTTCTTATAGTTATTCTTTTTCCTGGACCCTTAATTAGGTTTTCTAGATTCCTGCTATGAGTGAGACCATCCGGTATTTTTCTTTTTCTTTCTGGCTTATTTCGCTGAGCATGATCCCTTCCAGCGCAATCCATGTTGCTGCAAATTGCATGTGTTTATCTTTTTTGATTGCTGAGTAATATTCCATGGTATATATGGACCACATCTTCTTGATCCAGTCATCTATTTTTGGGCATTTGGGTTGTTTCCAAAGCTTAGCTATTGTAAACAGTGCTGCTATAAACATAGGGATGCAGGTGCTCTTTGGAATTGATGTTTCTGTGTCCTTTGGGTAAATACCTAGGAGTGGAATTGCTGGATCATATGGAAGCTCTATGTTTAGTAGGTTGAGAAATCTCCACACAGCTCTCCATAGTGGTTGGACCAGTTTGCACTCCCACCAACAGTGCAGGAGAGTTCCTTTTTCACAGGCTTATTAGAAACAAAATTTGAACTAAATAGATATTTTCTTAATTGGCATGTAATAGTGGAACTCTGAATAAGGAATGAAAGAAAGAAACAAATACCATTAGACACAAAATAATGGCTTCTCTCTGTTATATCATCAGAATCACCCCCAAACCTGAGCTTTGCTCTTGCTCCATCTGTTCTCTTGGGAAAGAGTTCATGGGGTAAAAGGGACAGACCCAAAAGGTGTCAGTGCCCCCCTTCTATTATTCCCAACTTAAATGGCCCTGAGCCCACTTTTAGCTTGCATGGGCATTGTATGTTTCTCTACCAGGAGTAAAATTACTGGTGTGAAGCAGAGATTGTCCCAGCTTTATGTACTAGAAAATAGGATGATCTAGTGGAGGTACTAGAGACAAGTCCATCTTTAAATTCGGCAATTTATTGCCTGATGTCACCAATTGTAATGCTCTTAATGTAGTTGAGTGCACTGTATTTAGGGTATCCGTCATTGAAAGGGTATCATACAGATACCAAGTTCGTAGGATTTAATGGATTCACAAGTCTACTTTTCTCTAATATATAGTTTTCTGAAATACTTTAAACCAGTACTTCCCAACTTTGTCTTTTTATGTACCTGTTTTGTTTATGAGAATAGAAAGGATAAAACAATCCTAAAATTTCTGAATATTCTTTTTTTGGATAAAAACCAAATAGGAGGGAAGTACATTCCTGTTCTCTTGCCCCTCTCCTCCTCAGCAGTGCTGGTCTCTGCTCCTTACTCACGGTGACACCAGCTAAGTCAGCAGAGCAGTGTGGCTAGCGCAGGTCTTACATGCTCACTGAGTGTATGTCCTTCCTTCCTCAGGCTGGAGTTCTGGGCTCATAAGGGCCACCCCTTGCTCCTTGTTGTTTTTTCTACTTTTTATACCTCCACAATGTCAGTTTTTCTAATTAATTGTAATGTAGGAGTCAGCTAAGTTTTTAGGTTGCTTCATTTTTTTTTTAATCTCAAAAGAAATGTATATATGTCATTAAATCTTTCAATTCACCTTTTTGGTTGATCTTTAGTAATTTGTCCAGCAAGCTCAGAGACTTGACTTGATAAGAGACTGAGATAGTTCTATATCAATGTTATTTTCTTCATTGTGCTTTTATGCCTTGGGTGATCATGTGAATTATAATTCAAACAAGGTATAATTTTGGAGGTGAAAGTGAAGGGAACAAGGAACACTATTAATATCACATTATTAGATAATAATGTAAACTGGGGTGGAGCAAGACAAATAACGATTTATGTTCTTCTTGACTCAAGTCATTTAAATGTATGCACATGTGATTTGACGGTACTAACATTGTGACCAGAGTAGTTACATAATTTTTCTCTGCTTCCATTTTATTTTGTTTTGTTTTTGACATATGAAATGTGAAAATATTTTTTCCAATCTCAAGGTCAGTGAGAGAATTAAGGGAGTAATTGTATGTAAAATATTTAGCCAAGTTCTTGACATAAGAATGTTAAAGTTTACTCATATGATTACTGACAAGTTAGGAGAATTTTGCATAACTTGCTTTTCAAATGTCAATTTCTTGGTGTTAGGAGGGTAATTGGATTACATTGATATGTCTAGTTTGGGGTTCAAGTTAACCTTCACCATACTTACGTTCTCATTTCAGATTTTTGGATTTCTGGTATGCTTGGGGATTATTCTTGCAATAGGAAACTCAATCTGGGAGAGTGAAGTTGGGGACCAATTCAGAACTTTCCTCTTCTGGAGTGAAGGAAATAAGAACTCTGTGTTCTCAGGATTCTTAACATTCTGGTCATACATTATTATTCTCAACACAGTTGTACCCATTTCATTATATGTGAGGTAAGGTGAGAGTTTATATTTTAGTGTAGTCATTGCATCAAAATTCATCCTTTTGTGAAATCATTTTTGTTGATCTTCACGTTAAAACACTAAGATAGATGTCTTGTACTGTTTATAATCTGCTACATCTGTTACAAATGAGGCAACTAAACTGTTTAATCTGTTTAACTTTTACATTTTAAAATTATAATAAAATGCATTTTAGTTTCTTCTTTATTCAATTCAGTTTCTTAGGAATGTTTTTCTTTGAGATATGGAAACTACAGTGTAATCTCATGCAACTTAATTGTGTTGATGTTGGGTGAAACGGAATATTTGGGGATATCTATTAAGATGGTGTCTCTTGTTACTAGTCTGGCTCTAGATACCTGAATTCAGATTATATTCTACCACTTACTAGTTCCATAAGCTTGGTCAAGTTATCTTGGTCAAGTTTATCTCCCAGTGCCTCAGTTTCCTCATTTTAAAAATGGAGAAAATAGTCACTTTACTTAATAGGATTTTATGAAGAGTAATCAAATGCCAGTAAAGCTCTTAGAAGAATACCTGGAACATTGTACTAATAAAATCTTACTAACTTTACTCACTTTAAGTGAATTGTTCCTAACTTTAAGTGAATACATAAATGAGTTGAAATATAGTTGGTGGTGCTTGTCCACTGTTAAATATGAAGTATGATTCATAACTCCCACTACAATTTGATGTAATTTTTACATTTGGTCTTACAAACTAGCACTAAAATGATCTCTCTTTTGTATAACACACACTTATAAATCTTTCTCTCTATGTATATGTGTGTGTAATAAAGTTTGGAAATTGGCCCTAGGATCTGTACCTGAGTCATTCTTGGTTCTAATCCTATGAAGACAAAGGCAGACAGTCCCAAAGACACTGGAGCCAAGATAGGTCTTGGTTGTTTGACATTCCTCATCACCAGTATTTTAACAATACACAAAATCACCAACTCTAAATCCCCACTAATTTTTACAAGCTTCTTTTTCTCTCTTTCCAAAGTTCTAGCTATGATGAAGCAAGGGAAGTTTAATGCACAAAATCCACCCTTGTTTTGGATAGTGGTCAGGAAATTGAAATGTCAAGTTGTGGGAAATTGACTTGAAGTAGTGGCATGTGGCCACAACACCACAAATTGCTTTGGGCCTTCTGGAACTGTGGTCAAAATGGGCTCTATTTAAACTGTATCCTACTGGCTCATCTTTGATTCTGAGGACCTCTCATGCTTGTATCCAATTATAAAGTCTGTAGTAAGTCCTACTCTTTGCCAGAAGAGCCATGGTCAGCTTTTATAGCTTTCCTTTTATGTTCTAAATGAATAATAAATGCTCATAGTGGCTTAACATCTGCACATATGCAGTTTCATATGTCCTCCTGAAGGAAGATTATTCTGTATAGACTCTTTCTTTGAAGTCCATTGGTGTTTTTCATTTAATGATTTGAAAGTTTGTTTTTCAAAAACCAAGGCTAGATTCCCAGGTTAGTATTTTCTCCCCATTTAATGTGCCCCCTGCCGTGGTCAACAGAAAAACTGGAATGGTCCAAACAGGTTTTGAACTATTGATCTTGGGTCCTGGTATAAACAGCCATGTGATCCTGGAGACGTGGCTTTTCTGGGCCTTCGTTTGCCCATGAAATATGTGCTGCTCAATAAAATGAGAGGATTAGAAATAGTTTCTGAGTTTCCTTCTGCTCCAGATCTGCCATCTTACCTTTAGACAGCATTTTACATTTCATTACAGTTCTTGCACATGTTTTATCTCATTTATGTCTCCAACAATTTTATGAAGTAGTTATGGCTGAATTTCTTTCCTAAATGAGGTGATTTAATCAGGATCGTGGAGCTAGATTGGAACAGAACCAAGATACAGGCCCAAGTCTTCTGATACTTGACAGTGTTTTTCCTTTACCCCAAAGTAGTGTATGATTTAGCAAAGATATCAAGCAAAGATATCAAGATAAAAATAGAGGCTAGAATTCTCTACCTGTTGTTACTGATGAAGATAAGTGTGAGCTTTTCTCTTACCTAATAAGAATAGTGATAATAATCTGGATTTGTTGATAAAAGCACTTCAGGGGATTCAGGTTGCTTGGTCCAAAATCTGAGAATTAGAGGAAGATCTTTCTTTTCAGAGGAATGATGACTTTCTTCCAAAGCTTCCACTAGACTTGAATAGGTAAAAGAATAAATTAATGACATGTGCCACCTCAGCACAAAATTTCAGAATTTACTTTAGAATGGTTAATTGCACATAAGCAAAGATTTATTTTGGTGTGGGGTATGTCTGTGCTGTCCATTTGTTTATCTGTAGCATTAAAATGTACCCAGGCTACAGTTTTTTAAATGACTTTTAACACATCATCTTAAGAAATGCAGTTGTTGTACTCCCAAGGAACTACTAGACCTTTTGAGTGTTCTTTCCAAAGCCATAGCAACTTATTACCAAGTTGCTTGTTTGCCACAGAATGGGTAGAATCCCAAGCCCCACTCTTTGAGCATTCTGGCAGAAAACACTACGGAGTCTGATTATGCTAACTCTGAGCATTTGTCTCTTCTTCTGCTATTATACAACAAAAGGCTGAATGTTCCACTGTGACTCTTTTAAATCCTCTACAGACTATTTTAAGGTCTAAGGATTTGAATTAATTTAAAAATATTCCATTGGTTAATACTGCAATATGGAAGGATCAAATTCTGTTCTGTTCATTTTGCTTTGAGTTTACAGGGAGCTACTTTACTTTCAGACAAATGAAAGCTTCCAGTGATTTGTACAGTTACTTGCATGCTGACATTCTTATGGCATTCTTAAAGTCAGGTCTGCATTGGCTTAACCAAATGCTTAAATTTTAAATGTCTCTTTTCTTTTTTTTTAATTTAATGAAGTACCATTTATCCTTGATAATATTTAGACAGTATATGATTTTTTCCCTCAGATGTGGTCACCATTTGCTCTCCTACCACCAAAGCACCCATAATCCTCCGCCATAATCCTCCACCATAGTTCATTATGCTCTCTTTTTCCTATCCCATGCCTCAGATATATGGTCAGCATTCAAGGTTTTTTTTTTCTTAATTTAAAAAAAAAACTTTATGCATAGAAGAGCTAGGGTATAGGCCAAGGTGCAGGAGGTGAGCCAATTCACCAGAGACAGAGTGGGGGGCAGAACAGGCAGATTGACTGAAATACACTGCTTAGGGGAGCAGCGGGCGAGACAGGAGAGGTCTGCTGTGCCATATGGGTAGCACCCTGGCCGGGGATCAAACTCGTGCTGCAGTGGCTGCAGATAGCTTCACAGTGTTCAGACTTAACCTCTTGCACCACCAGGGAGGCCCCTCAAGGGTTGGTTTTAATGTTTGTCCTTGTCTGACCCTTTGTTTGGTTTCTCCATTTACCATTTATAAATGACACCATCCAGTATTTATCTTTCTCCTTCTGACTAATTTTGCACACCCAAGTGCTTGAATTCTAATCTTGGTTCTGTGGTAAATTTATTTGTGACACTGAATTGGCCACTTAACCTCACTAAGTGTTCATGTCCTAACTGGTGAAATTAAGCCACAGAGGGTCAAGTTTTCTTCATTGAGCAGTGACTGCCTGTGGCTTGGTGCTGGGCCCATTGTAAGTACTAGTACATTTTGAATAAATGGATGAGGTAATGAAAATAGAATTAGAATATCTAGAAAGAAACATAAAAGGAACTAGGGGCCAGGATACAGAAGAGTAAATCATGACAGGAAAACCTATTAAAAAATATATGCAGAGTATGACTGATTTACTTATATATCATATGATTCTACAAAGTCATAGTGTGATTTTTATTTTGGGTAAAAAAATCTGACAGTTCAAATTTGTTCAAAAACGAACTGCCACCATATCACATTTAGAGAGAGAACTGTAGATATGTCATATACTTACAGAGCAAGAGGCTAGAATTGAATACCTAGAAAGGACTTTATGTGTCATCTACTTCAATTCTCTCAATTCATACATTATAAAATTAAGGCTAATTTCCATTCAGATCAGAAATAAGCTATGGGCTTCTGCTATTATCATTGATATTTTATGCTGTTCTGTATGTCTTTGTTAATGTAGTTTGACATGCAACTGGACTATCAGTGAGTAAAGTAAGACATCAAACTGAAAACTGATGTAAACTTATTAGAAAGAAAGTGTAGAGACAATGTGATTATAAACCTCGGCTATCCAAAAGAATAATTCTGTAAAACCCTTAGTAAGATAATATAGTTAAATATCTATTTTGTGGTAATAATCACATTTTTGATATTAAAAAACTTTTCAAATACTAACCTCCTATTGATCAAAAACAGTTAATAGTATTCCATCAATAAAAAGATATAATGGTTAGGAACAAATGTATTAAGCTATGATATGGGCCTATGGAAAAACAAAACAAAACAGAACAAAATTAAAACTCTTCAATAGAAGAGAGACTTTAAAAAATTACATTCCTGGAGTTATCCTTCTGTTTGTATTTAAGTGTTATAAAATATCAGTTCTTTTCAAATAATTAAGAGTTTAACATAGACTTAATAAAAATTCCAAATAAGTGTTATGAACTAGCTGATACCTTGATTCTAAGGAATATTTAGATGAATCAGGAAGAATAAATGAGTTATTAAACTAAGGATTTTTGAAAAAGAGGAGAAATTCTCTTATCTCTTCTCATTAAGGGACTAAAATGAAAATCCTAATACAGATTCTAATGAGGAAAATAATTTATATGTGACATAGAAACATTCCAACACAGCGGAGAAAATTTCACTAAAGAAAATGGTGATAAAAAAATGTTCTGTTTGTAAAAATTGTAATTAACTTCTCATATGTACATCATACTTCAAAAAATTCTATTTGTGATAAATATATGGAAAATCAATAAAGAACTAGAAGAAAAATACAGATATTTGCAATATGTAATTTTGCATATTGTAATTTTGAAGATATGTAAAATTTGCAAATATCTAATTTTGGCATAGGTTAGGCCTAGGCCAAAGTGAATTCCCCAAGGAGAAACTATAAATAAGAATTATAAGTTATTGATATATTTGATTGATTATAAAGAAAAAAATTCCTTCATGTCAAAAATAATAGAAACAAAATTAACAGGCAAATGATAAACTGGTGAACATATTTATATATTGTGTGTATATATATATATAATATGTATAAATTATATATGTAAGTTATAAATCTCTATAAGTAATAGACTGGTGTATTATTAGGAAATATAAAATGGGCAGATAACACAATTAGATAATTCCTAGAAAGAAATACCACTGTCCAATAAAACTTGAAAATAATGATCAATTCATTGATAAGAAAAGAAATGCAGTAAAAAGAAATGAGATGCTGGGGCCTCCCTGTTGGTGCAAGGGTTAAGTGTCAGCACTATGAAGCTATCCACAGCCACTGCAGCATGAGTTCAAACCCCAGCCAGGGAGCTGACCCACATGGCAGGGAGACCTCTCCTGTCTCGCCCCACTGCTCCCCTCAGTGTATTTCAGTCAATCTGCCTGTTTTGCTCCCCACTCTGTCTCTGGTGAATCCTATCACCCATCTCTCCACACCTGTGACCTACACCCCAGGTCTTGTATGCATAAATAAATAATTCTTTAAAAAAAATAATGAGATGCTATTTGCTTGGTATATAGTAAAAGGCAATTTTCAGCAACCTAATGGTATAAACTTACATTATTACAACCTTATTTTAAAGTTGATTTGGCTTTATAAATGACAAAGACTGAAATAATTCATACCATTAGCCAAAGAAATTCAACTTCTAGAATTGGAAAATCATAAATCACTGCTAGATTATGGGACAGCTTACTTTTTCTGGTAAATGGGCATAGTAAGGTGAGAACACACCCCTGTTTTCACTGAATATCCATAGTGCTTTGTGAGTGTTTCATGGAGATATTACTTTCTACCTTGTTCGTTAAAAGTGAAGCCACCTCAGATAATGTATTGGAAACTCAACATGTTTCTTTAGGTTAGACATGATCAGTGCCTTTATTAATGGTTTCCCCTAAGACATAGGGGATGCCAAGTGATATACCACAGGATCTCTTCACTTGCCCTCTCTCAGGTAGCTAGAGAACCATGCAGCATCCTCTAACACTTTATGCAGAGCCAGTCTACAGTTCCATGGCACTGCAAGAAAATGACTTTGGAACATTTATGAACAAACTGCGAAGCTTCTGAAGGCCACTAGGACTGAGGACAGAGCATCCACATTTTCTTCTCAACTCTGAAGACTTTGGCAGACTTCTTTCTTTGGCAAAGCCCTGTATGTTCTGACACTGATGGAGTGTTTCTTTCTTTTTCCACTTTAATGGGTGAAAGTGTGGAAGTCATTCGTCTGGGACACAGTTATTTTATAAACTGGGATCAGAAGATGTATTACTCAGGGAAGGCGACACCTGCTGAGGCTCGGACAACCACACTCAATGAGGAACTGGGCCAGATCGAATATGTTTTCTCTGACAAAACGGGCACCCTCACTCAAAACATCATGACTTTAAAAAAATGTTCCATTAATGGAAAAATCTATGGTAAGGGAAACCGTTCCTTTTTCTTAATGGTATTGTTAATACTTCTTAAAATACACAACCCTGTTTTTTCATTAAAAACAAAAAGCAAAGCCACTGCTGGCTTTCTAATTAGTCTGGGCACCACCAACATCTATTGAATAACATAATAGTTGACACCTAATAAATGCTGACTAAATATTAATTTGATGAATGTTAAATAATTTAGATGAAACTTTGGATTTGTTACTATCGATGGGTGGAGGTGGGGTTTATTGGTGTTACTGTTAGATGTTCCTTTTAGTGCTCCAACTTTGTGTCTCTGTTTGGTGGCACTCAGGAGACCCACATCTCAGAGAGATCAAATTCTTTGTTGCCTGATTTATTGCAGTAAAAGCACTTGACATCGCTCTGGAATTGGTGTTAGTGCCTGATTTAATTTCTGAGAATTTATACTGTATTGGGCTACTTTGAGTGGCCAGAAAAGTTAGTCAATTTCCAGTTACTATTTGTATGTTTTTGTTAGGATACAAGCTCTGCAGCTGGATTTTCAGGCATTCTATTTATATGTGTCCCTTGTCACCCTGAGTTTGGACAGTTCGCAGATAATTCTGCTGGAGCACGGATGCTCTGTGGGAGGCTCTTTGTCAGGTTTCTCTGGACTCTCCTCATTTCACTGCACTCAGTCCAATTTCTTAATCAGAAATCTCAGAAGTAAAGGGAATCCAAGAAGGAGAGGGAAACTTTTCCTCTTTTTCCTCATGGGAAACTTTACGCACAGCCAAGTTTTTTAAAGCAATAATTGACATTGAACAAAACTTAGAAATAAAGTTGACTTTTGTACTCACTTTGCAGCCCCATGACCCAGGGCTGCCATGGCTGTCTCATCTCTCCTCTGCCCCCTGCTCCTCTCCAGGCTTCTCTGGTAGAAGACCAGATGATTTTCAGCCTGGACTTGCACAAGCCTGCAGTCACACCATGTATTTCTTATATCACTATTGTAATGCCTGGCAAAAAAAAAAAAATGAAAATTTCCACTTTTTTATTTTGGACATTAATTTTAGAGACTTTCTAAAAATACTGCCTTAACCCAAGGAGCAATTGAAATGGGAAAATTTTAGTAAGCGCATTGGAGATATTTTGAATTCAGAAGAACTTTTGTATTCTTTGCCATGGCAATACATATAATGATGATGATGATGATGATGATACTGCTAGGAAATGATTCTAAAGAAATTATCAAGCATGCATGATTCACTTGTAGAGATGTTAATTCACAGTACTATTTTCAGAAAAGGTCCTTGATTTTCACAATGTACATATCCCAATATCTTTGAAAATTCCAAATTTACAAATCTCACGGTAGCTTATAATTTTACTTATAAAATACAGGAAAATAACTGAATAATTTAAGTAACCTCTTTAGACCATGAATATATATATGCCATTAAAATTTGTAATTCATTTATGATGTCATTAAAATAATTCTTATTAAAGCACCCAAATAATGTTTCAGAATAGCTTTTACTTGTTTTCATACAAGTTACCTTATTTATATATAAAGTGATTTGTTCCTCAAGAGAGCACTAGTTTCATCCAGAGAAAATAACCCCCACAATGGGATGGCAAAATAAACCTTTCTTTCTGAAAACAAAGGACACTCAACTGTTGGTTTGTTAACATCACAACTTCTGTACCACTTCTTTAGGTTTTAAAAAAATGATGGCTCAATCTGTCTTCAAAAGGACCTTCCTCAAAAGGAGCTGGAATGTGGACTCATATTAATCTTCCATAAAAATTTGACACCCCACTCAGATTTACCTGAGCCTTTTCTGACTCAGGACTCTTATTTTGCAGATTTTCAAGTATTCTATTTACATGATAACCTTGTCACACTGATTTTAATTTTTTATTTTCATTTCCATTACTAGACCTATAAATGCACTTTCTTTGTGGAGTTGCATTTTACACAGACACAGTTTTGTTTTGTTGCTATAATTTTATTAGAATTACCAATTTGGGCTAATGACTAGAATATAATCAGGGTGAGTTTAAGATTTAAATACTAAGTGCCTGTTTAGTTTCATTCATTTGCTCAGGGATTCCTGCCACCTGCAGCCATACAGCATTCCAGATGTAGATCTGTGTTCCAGAAAAATAGCAAAGAACTATTTGGCAAGTGTCTTTCCAGTTGGGATTTTGTACAGTGAAAGAAGAGAGACTTGAGTTCAAAAACCCACTCCTGCTGACTTTTTAAGTTTTAGTTTAGTCTTGTCACTTTGAACTCTTCTTCAGTCCCCTCATCCATAAATCAAGAATGAAAATATTCATCTTGCAAGTTCGTTATGAAGTTGAGTGATGGGTCTCCCCGGTGGCGCAGCGGTTGAGCGCTGGATTGCGAAGCTGCCCGCAGCCTCTGCAGGGCCAGTCTGATCCCTGGCTGCTCCGGAGGAGGGTCCTACATGGCGCGCAGACCTCTCCTGCCGCCCGCTGCTCCCCTCAGCAGTGTACTTAGGTCCTTCTGCCTGCTCTGCTCCCCGCTCTGGCTCTGGTGAATTCTCTCACCCTCCCGTGCTTCTGACTGTACCCAGTGCTTGTATAAATAAATAAATAAATCTTAAAAAAAAAAAAAAGAAAATATTTAAAAAAAAAATAAAGTTGAGTGATATTGTAAATGCCTGGCACAGGGTTGATGCAGATAACTCTTTTTTTTTTTTTTTTTTTTTTTTTTTTTTTTTTTTTTTAAATATTAAATTTTATTTTTATATTCCCCCATACAATTGCAAACGCCCCATTCTGACCCAATCCTTCCCCTCCCGCCCCCCACCCCCCAAAAGGTGTCTCTGGTTCATAGTTTTTTGTTGATTTTGATTTTCACTTTCTTATATTCATTTTCCTGGTCCCTTATTTAAGTTTTCTAGATTCCTGCTATGAGTGAGACCATCCGGTATTTTTCTTTTTCTTTTTGGCTTATTTCGCTGAGCATGATCCCTTCCAGTGCCATCCATGTTGCTGCAAATTGCATGTGTTTATCTTTTTTGAATGCTGAGTAATATTCCATGGTATATATGGACCACATCTTCTTGATCCAGTCATCTATTTTTGGGCATTTGGGTTGTTTCCAAAGCTTAGCTATTGTAAACAGTGCTGCTATAAACATAGGAGTGCAGGTGCTCTTTGGAATTGATGTTTCTGTGTCCTTTGGGTAAATACCTAGGAGTGGAATTGCTGGATCATATGGAAGCTCTATGTTTAGTAGGTCCAGAAATCTCCACACAGCTCTCCATAGTGGTTGGACCAGTTTGCACTCCCACCAACAGTGCACAAGAGTTCCTTTTTCTCCACATCCTCGCCAACATTTGTTGTTGCTAGTTTTTTTAATATGTGCCATTCTCACTGGTGTGAGATGGTATCTCATGGTAGTTTTGATTTGCATTTCCCTGATTACAAGTGATGTTGAACATTTTTTCATATGTCTGTTGGCCATTTGCATTTCTTCTTCAGAGAAGTTTCTTTTTAGCTCTTCTGCCCATTTTTTGACTGGATTATTTTCTTTGTTGTTGCTGAGTCTCATCAGCTCTTTGCAGATTTTTGTGATCAGTCCTTTATCATTAGTGTTGGGTGCAAAAATGTTCTCCCAGTTGGTGGGGTTTCTCTTTGTTTTTGTTATTGTCTCTTTTGCTGTGCAGAAGCTCTTTAATTTGATGTAGTCCCAGCTGTTTATCTTTCTCTTCACTATCACTGCTTTGGGTGATGTGTCTGTAAAGATGTCTTTGATGTGCAAATCACGTAGTGTTTCGCCTATATTTCCTTCTATGTATTTTATGGTTTCAGGTCTTATGTCTAGTTCTTTAATCCATTTTGAGTTGATTTTTGTGTATGGTGTGAGGTAGTGGTCAAGCTTCATTCTTTTGCATGTAGCGACCCAGTTTTCCCAGCACCATTTATTGAACAAACTTTCTTTGCTCCAATGCATAGTCTTTGCTCCTTTGTCAAAGATTAGTTGACCATAAATCTGTGGGTTTATTTCTGGATTTTCTATTCGATTCCATTGGTCTGTATGTCTGTTCTTGTTCCAATACCATGCAGTTTTGATGATTATGGCTTTGTAGTATAGTTTGAAGTCTGGGAGTGTGATGCCTCCATTTCCTTCTTTTTTTTTCAGTAGAGCTTTGGCTATTCGGGGTTTTTGGTGATTCCATATGAATTTCATCAATAATTGTTCTATTTCTTTGAAGAATGCCATTGAGATTTTGATTGGAATAGCATTGAATCTGTATATTGCTTTTGGTAGGATGGCCATTTTAATAATGTTTATTCTTCCAATCCATGAGCAGGGGATGTCTTTCCATTTCTTTGTGTCTTCTTCTATTTCTTTTAACAGTGTTTTATAGTTTTCTTTGTATAGGTCCTTTACCTCTTTTGTTAGATTTATTCCCAAATATTTGATTTTTTTTGTTTCGATAATAAAAGGGGTGGTTTTTTTGATTTCTTCTTCTTCAGATTTATTGTTTGTGTATAGGAAGGCTACTGACTTTTGCGTGTTGATTTTGTATCCTGCCACTTTACTGAATTGATTGATGAGTTGAATTAGTTTTTCTGTGGAGATTTTGGGGTTCTCTATGTATATTATCATATCATCTGCAAATAGTGATAGTTTGACTTCTTCTTTTCCTATTTGGATTCCTTGGATGTCTTTCTCTTGTCTTATTGCTCTGGCTAGGACTTCCAGTATTATATTGAAAAGCAGTGGTGAGAGTGGACATCCTTGTCTTGTTCCAGATCTTAATGGAATTGCTTTCAGCTTTTCACCATTGAGAATGATACTGGCTGTTGGCTTGTCATAGATGGCCTTTATGATGTTGAGGTATGTTCCTTGTATCCCAAGAATTTCAAGGGCTTTTATCATGAATGGGTGTTGCACTTTGTCGAAAGCTTTCTCAGCATCTATTGATATTATCATATGGTTTTTATATTTCTTTTTGTTGATGTGTTGGATAACGTTGATTGATTTTCGGATGTTAAACCATCCTTGTGCCCCTGGAATGAATCCAACTTGGTCGTGGTGAATTATCTTATGGATACATTGTTGGATTCTGATAGCTAAAATTTTATTGAGGATTTTTGCATCAGTGTTCATTAGGGAGATTGGCCTATAGTTTTCCTTTTTTGTGTTGTCCTTATTCGGTTTTGGTATTAGTGTAATATTGGCTTCATAGAACGTGTTTGGTATTGTCCCTTCCTTCTCAATTTTTTGGAAGAGTTTGTGAAGGATAGGCACTAATTCGTCTCTGAATGTTTGGTAGAATTCATTTGTAAATCCATCAGGCCCTGGGCTTTTGTTTTTGGGGAGGTTTTTAATTACCATTTCAATTTCGCTGCTTGTAATTGGTCTGTTTAGGTGTTCTATTTCTTCTTTATCTAGCTTTGGGTGATTGTAGAGTTGTAGGAATTTGTCCATCTCCTCTAGATTGTTGAACTTGTTTCCATATAACTGTTCATAGTAGTTGCTGATTATTCTTTTGATTTCTGCTGTGTCCGTTGTGATTTCTCCTCTTTCATTTATGATTCTGTGTATTTGTGCTTTCTCCCTTTTTCCTTTGTGAGCCTGGCTAGGGGTTTGTCTATTTTATTTATTTTTTCAAAGAACCAGCTCTTGGTTTCATTGATCTTTTGGATTGTTTTTTTAGTTTCAATTTCATTTATTTCTGCTTTGGTTTTTATTATTTCTTTTCTTCTACTGGTTCTGGGGTTTTTTTGTTGTTCTTTTTCTAGATCTTTGAGCTTCGAGATTAGGTTGTTTCTTTGAGTTCTTTCTTGTTTTTTGATGTGAGCTTCTATTGCTATATATTTTCCTCTTATTACTGCTTTTGCTGCATCCCATACATTTAGGATATTGGTGTCCTCCTTGTCATTCAATTCAAAGAATTTTTTAATTTCTTCTTTGATCTCCTCGTTAGTCCAGTGGTCTTCCAGTAGTGTGGCTTTTAATCTCCATGAGGTAGGATAGTTCCTTGCCTTCTTTTTATGATTTATTTCTAGTTTGATGCCTTCGTGGTCAGAAAAGATGGTTGGTATGATTTCAATCTTGGTGTATCTGTTGATGTTTGTCTTGTGCCCCAGTATGTGATCGATCCTGGAGAATGATCCGTGTGCGCTTGAGAAAAATGTGTACTCCGTTTTTTTTGGGTTTAGTGTTCTATAGATGTCTGTTAAGCCCAAATGCTCTAGGTCCTTATTTAGAGCTTTAGTTTCTTTACTTATTTTTTGTCTTGTTGATCTATCCATTGTTGATAGTGGTGTGTTGAAGTCTCCCACTACATATGTGTTTTCTCTGATGTCTGTTTTCAGAGAGGACAACAGTTGTCTGATATATTTTGGTGCTCTTTCGTTTGGTGAGTATATGTTAATGAGTGTTATTTCTTCTTGAAGTATTGTCCCCTTAATCATAATGTAGTGACCATTGGGGTCTCTTTTTATTTTTTTGAGTTTGAAGTCTGTTTTATCTGATATAAGTATAGCTGTTCCTGCTTTCTTTTTGGCCCATTTGCTTGTAGGATTGTTTTCCATCCTTTGACTTTGAGCCTATTTTTATCTTTTGTAGCTAAATGTGTTTCCTGGAGACAGCAAAAGGTTGGGTTTTGTTTCTTAATCCAGGCTGCAACTCTGTGTCTTTTTATTGAAGAGTTTAGTCCATTTACATTTAGAGTTAATATTGATATGTTAGCATCTGTATTTGCCATTATGTTTGTCTTTCCTTTATTTATTTATTCTTTTAATAACTTTTTTTTTTCTTTTTTGGTCTTCTTTCGTTGTTATTCGTCCCTCTGAGGTTCTGGCTTTAGGATTCCTTGTAGTATTTTTTGGAGTGGGGGTTTAGTCGCAATGAAATTCCGGAGTTTCTCTTTGTCTGGGAAGGTCCATATTCTTTCTTCATGGAGGAAAGAGAGCTTTGCGGGATAGAGTATTCTTGGTTGGCATCTGTTTTCTTGGAGTCTGTTGACTATGTCCCTCCACTCTCTCCTTGCCCGTAGTGTTTCTTCAGAGAAGTCTGATGTCAGCCTGATTGGTTTTCCTTTGAATGTTATCTGTTTCTTCCCTCTTGTCAGCTTCATTATTTTTTCCTTGTCCTGGATTCTTGGGAGCTTTACTATTATGTGTCTTGCTGTGTTTTTCCTTTCGTCATGGAAGTTTGGTGTTCTTCTTGCTTCTTGTATATCAATTTTCAGCTCCTTCTTCTCATTTGGGAAGTTCTCTTCAATTATATCCATGAATATTTTCTCTGTTCCTACATCTCTCTCCTCTCCTTCTGGAATTCCTATAACTCTTATATTTCCTTTCCTCATGGAGTCAGATAGTTCCCGAAGTCTTTCTTCATTCTTTTTCCTTCGTACTTCTCTTTCCTTTTCTGTTTTGGTTCTTTTTATTTCTGTGTCTTCAAGATTACTTATTCGTTCTTCCATTTCATCTATTCTGCTTTCATTGCTTTTCCCAGAGTTCTTTAGTTCCTCCATTAATTCTTTGATCTCCTGCATTTCTCTTACTTCCCTCTTTAGGGACTCAATTTCCTTCTTCTGATCTATCACTTTTTTAATCATGGCAATTTTAAATTCTCTTTCTGGAAGGCTCAGAAGTTCTTCCAAGTTGCTGTCGTTGCAATCTGGGGAGTGGTTTTCTTTTTGTGGTGTGCTTCTTTCCTGAGGAGTTTTTAGGTTGCGTGTGGTTCTTCTACTCCCTACTGTCTGTTTTCTAATTTGTCGTATGCGTTGGGACACTGTGTTGCTCGGACTGACTGACATCTTGGGTGAACTTCTCCGCTCCCCTCTGGCTCTTCCAGGAGCCATCTCTGTCTTCTGGGGGAGCTTTCTGCTGGTTTTAGGCAGTTTTTACTTAAGAAATGTCCCTGTTCTCAAATGGCGAAGCGGGATGCAGTCCCTGCGCCTCCGGTTTCAGGCACACTCTTCTGCGCACCCGGTCTGCCCCGGACGTGGGTGCCTGCTCCCTCTGTGGGCTCAGACTGCTGGTCGGAAGGGGCCTGGCGTGGAATAACTTCCCGGCTGGCCACTGGGTCCTCCAGAAACCTTCTGCCCTTTTCAAGCAGTCTTAAGAAATGTCCTGTTTTATAGGGTGTTAGTGACTTTTTTTCCTGGTCGCTAGGTGGCGCCAGAGATCTCTCCTATTGTCCTTGGGGGGCTGTTTTTCGCCTCCCCCCACCCCGTGGGACAGAGAACAGAGCGGGAATGGTAGGGTACACCTCAACAGCTTTGGGGTGCTGTGTCTGCCTTGTGCCCCACCGTCGTGGAGAACCCACGCCCCGAATTTTCGTGCCCCGGGTCTCAGTTCAAAGCCCTCAGTTCCAGGACGCGGGCTGTAGCCCAGTTCAGTGGCGCGGGAATGGCGCCTTTTGCACAGCTCCCGTGCCTGGGCGCCTGGTTCCTGCTCACTCAGGGAGGGACCTTCACCTCAGTGAGGACCTCCGTGCGTCTCCCCGCAAGCCTAGGTCGCAGGCGCGGGGACCTGGGCAGCCGCGATCCAGGTCTGCACTTGCTTTTCAAGCTCCCCGAGCGCGCCGCGTTTCCGCGCCAGCTTACCGGCAGCCCGGGCTGTGTGCGCGTCTCCCGGGGTCTTTGTTCTTCTCTAATGGCGCCAGGAGCCGTTCGCAGATAACTCTTATAACCACAAGAATTATAGTCTGGGCAAATAGTATTAGACTTCAAATGCCAAGCAAAAATTAGGAAAATCTTAAAGGTCTCCAAGTGGGAAAAAAACTAAAATAAATTATGCTACCTGAGCCATTATTGAACTAGTTAAAATTATGTGGAATTTATATAAAGTTATGATGAATATATATAAACATGCATCCCCCCACTCCATAAAATCAATCCCCTCCAAATAACTGTACAAATACTAGGTTTTATGTTTTGAGGGGTGGGACTATTAATAATTTTTATTTTCTACTATAAACATCTATATATTCAAATGTTTCTATACTAAACGCACACCAGCTTTATACTAAGTAAAGTTATTTTTAAGTATCTGGCATATTGGTGGCTATGTTTTTTGCTACAGAAGGCACTGACTTTGTTTTGACCTTGATATTGCACAGATGTAACTGGCACAAACCAAAATAGACAAAGATGTACAAGCTGAACTCTAGCATTAGTGAGAAGTGGTCTGTCTATATAATTTTGAATTCCCAAACAGTGGAGATAAAGTGGAAGACAAAAATTTGCCTTTTGCAAAGATCATAATTAATGTGATAACAGAATGACAAAGTTTTATAGAAAACACCATTGTATGCTTCATATTTTGTTTTAACGCATACTGCACTTGAGTTCCACTTGGGTAAACATGACTTTCTCTTTGTGTTGATTGCCATGTCTAGAGTTACAGTTTGAAATCACTCCTAAAATGTCTACATTTGAGCTCATAATGTCAACAAGTAATGGTGCTTTAATAAATAAGAATAGTCCTCAAAACTAAAAGTCTGAATCTGGGCTCAATTTTATTTAATTCTCAATTTTTTTTTTTTTTTCAGCAGGTGAAGCAGAGGATGACCTGGGTCTGAAAACAAACATGACTAAGGTATGGAGGTGATTAATTTCATTCTTATTTGAGAAAATTAAAATAAATTATTAAAAAAAGTAATGTACCACTGTCCATTAGATTTCCACCATCCTTGCTCTCACCCATCACAATCTCCTGTTCTGGTAACCTCAGTTCTGTTGTTGATGTCCATTGGTTTCTATTTATTTTGTTTTGTCAGTTCATCTGCTTGTTTCCTAATATTGCACATATAAATGAATCATCCAATATTTGACTTATTTCATTTTGCATAATCCCTTCAAGTTCCTTCCATTTTGCTGCAAATGATAAAATTTTATTTTTTTTAAAAAAGCTGAATAGTATTCTCTTGTGTACATATACCACATCTTGTTTATCCAATGATCTTTCATTGGCTTCCATATCTTAGCTCTCGTGAATAATCCATATTTTAGCTGCAGTAAATAGAGAGGTGAATATAACTCTTTGAGTAAATGATTCTTCAGACAGATTGCTCAATTATATGGTAATTGCCACCAATAGTGTATAAAAGTTCCTTTTTCCTCACACCTTGGTCAACACTTGTTGCTATAAACATTTGTTGTAAGCCATTCTCATGGATGTGAAATGATATTTCATTGTGGTTTGTAATTGATTTGTGTATATATACTTACATATAATTTATTACATTGTTATAGCTTCTTTTGTCTCTTTGGACAGTGTTTGACTTAAAGTCCACATTTTTCTGATGTATTCTCATCAAGTTACTATTTGTATACCATTTACCATTATCATTTCCTTTTTCAGACTATATCTTTCTTCTGATTCAGGATTTGTATTGGTATGTGATTAGTTATCACTGTGCATTATCTAGTTGAAATAGGCTAAGAATCTTTTTCTCTGCTAACCCAGAGTCATCATGCTTCCTGGAAATTCTACTCATTGTGGAATTCCTTATTTAACTTGACGTTTTCTGTCTCTGGTAACAAACAGATTCAGGAAGTCCTCTTGTCAATTGTTTCATACCTTTTAACACTGTTGTAAATAAAACTGTGTTACTTCTCTCTAAGAGTTGTAGTCTTTCTAATGAGATCTTTAATCCCTGTGAGATCTTTCTGTATCACTTCTCAGTTCCTATATTATCCCTCCACCATCACTGTTCCCCCCTTTGCTCCTACAATTGTTCTTTCTATACTTGGGCTGAAAGTCCTTTTAGTTCAAGGTGGTTCAGGTTTTGGTTCTACTATTTTCCTTAAAAAAATAGGGTTGTCCTTTTCCTTCTGACTCTCTGCTAGGCTGAGCAAATCAAAAGTCTAATTGATATTTATTGATGTATCAATGCTCTGCCTGCAAATTTCTGTTTTTGTTATTTCAGACACTTTTCAGTATAGCAGGTTACCAGGGCCACCTTCCTCTCATTCATCCTATAGTGCAAGCTGCCAGCTGATAAGTTCTACCTGTGTAAAAGAGTTCAATCAATCTTACTGTTGAAGATAATTGGGTAAGAACAAGTCAACAGACATTACAGAATTGCCTGTGATTAAATTAGACAAAAGCCAAAATACATGTGACAATATGAACCAAGGTCATTTAAATTTGATTAGAATGGCAATGATAAAACTCTAATTAACAAGAAATCTCCACACAGCTTTCCACAGTGGTTGAACCATTTTGTGGAGATTTCTTGACCTACTACAGATAGAGCTTCCATATGATCCAGCTACGCCACTCCTAGGTATTTACCCAAAGGGCACAGAAACATTAATTCAAAAGGATACCCGCACCCCTATGCTTATAGCAGCACTATTTACAATAGTTAAGCTATGGAAACAACCCAAATGCCCAAAACTAGTTGACTGGATCAAGAAGATGTGGTATATATACACAATGGAATATTACTCAGCAATCAAATAAGACAAACATGCAATTTGCAGCAACATGGATGGAGTTGGAAGGGATCATGCTCAGCGAAATAAGCCAGAAAGAAAAAGAAAAATACTGGATGGTCTCACTCATAGCAGGAATTTAGAAAATCTAAATAAGGGACCAGGAAAAAGACTAATTGCAAGAAAGTAAAAATCAAAATCAACAAGCATATAGACCAGAGACACATACAAAGGAGGATGGGGGAGGAGAAGAGGGATTAAGGTCAGAAAAAGGGGGTGGGAATTGTATGGGGAATATAACCAAAATGAAGATCCATACATTATGCAAAAATGAAAAATGATGTAAGAATTATATAAAATAAAATAATTCATTAAAAAAAAGTCTAACACCAGTAGAGTGATTTGGGAAGATATGGCATGCATGCAAGATACAAGGCAGGATGCCCTGGAAACATCACAGTCATGAACACAAGAAAAAGCTCCTTGAAGTGGAAAAACAAATGTGATAGAATAAAACATTCAATAGAAGAGTTGGAAAGTTCTTCTATTTTCCAACTTAGAAAATCAAGAGACTCTTCCAGAAAATAGAATAAAAGGAAAAGAGTTAGAAAATAAAAGAAAAAAAATTAACTGAGGAAGTCAGCTGGCAGATTGAGACTTAGTGAAATCCCAAGATACAGCTGAGTAGAAATACTCAGTTTCAAGATCCACATTGTAAAGTTCATTTCTCACCTTTTCTGTGAACAGTAGCTCAAAGATGGGCTTATGTAAACACGATATATATATATATATATATATACACACTTTTGGCTTTTAGATGAGAATCAACTAGAGAAAAGATTTAAATTTGTCTACAGAACAGAATAGACATATTTTCAATCCGTACAGTGAAAAAGAAAAAATACAAGCAACAGACTGGAGGAAAAAATAAAGGGAAAGTAAGAGAGGGAAGTAGGGGGTGGATAATAACTTCATCATACCAATTTGAGAGTGTTTAATTATAAACCAAACCAAAATTTACAAAAAGGGCATTCATATGTCATGGGAAGTTATAGAAGTGATTAATAGAGAAATTAAAATTATGGATATATCTATGTTGTTACAAGGTTTAGGGGAAAATGAAGCAGTGTAAATGCTATAATTTCATGTCATACAGAAACAAATTTGTAGATAAGGTCTCATATTTATAAACTCAGAAATGATGGTTTAAATTTACCTCAAAGTTCCTGTTACACCTTTTGGAAATGTTTAATTGATTTCCTCTGGACTGTGGGCTGGGAATGTGGTGGGAGGGTGAAGTTTCTATTGCTTTACTTTATAAGCCTTAGTGTATGATTTGATTTGTTAACCATTGTCATATGTTGTATTGAAAATACTAAAGGGACTTAGATAAAAAACACACTAGCATATTGTTAACCCCTGATAATGGTAGCCATTGTTAAATTAGTAAATGGAAAGGGAAGTAATCAAGAATTAGATTAGGGAGTTGTTCTGGAAGGTATTTAAAACATGGGTTTTTTGACTAAGTTTGAGTCCTCACTCTGCCAATTCCTAACTGGAAGGCCTTTTGATGAGGCTTAGATTCTCATCTGTAAAATGAGGAACTTATCACATTGAACAATGGGAAGATTATATGTAATAATTAATATAAAGCCATTAGCATGGTATCTGACCCTCTCTAAAAAATTATAAATATTTTTTATCCAGTATTAATTTAAGAATAAATCTGATTTTAAGAAACAAGGGACCTATTCTCAACTCAACTTTATTGTTGGTATTAAACTCTGTGCCTTGCAGTGGGTAATTTAAATTGCCCACAGTACTGTTTCTCTTTTAGAAAGTAGTTATAATAACATCTGCTCTTTTAACTTCAGAATGAATTACAAAAATTAAGGGAGGCTTAGAAAAAAAATCTGTGCCCAAATTCTCCTTTGATTTTATTTATTATTTCCCCCAGTTTTATTGAGAAGTAATTGACATACATCACTATATGAGTTTAAGGCATACAGCAGGATGATTGATATACATATATTGTGAAGTGGTTACTAGAATAAATTGGGCTAATATCCATTTGTCATATAGATAGGTTAAAAAGGAAAGAAAAAGTGAAGAAAAGGTAAAAAATTTCTCCTTATGAGAACTCAGGATTCACTCTTTTACCTTCCTGTATATCCTTCAGCAGCTTTGGCTCTAGTCATACATTACATCCTTGTACTTAGTTATCTTACAATGGGAAATTTGTGTCTTTGGGCCATCTTCCTCCAATTTCCTCTCCCTTAACCTTGTGCCTATAGTAACCTCAAGTCTGTGCTCTTTATCTATGAGTTCGTTTTTTAAAAATTCAATATATAATATTTATCTTTCTTTCTTCAACTAATTTTACTTCGCACGATGCCTTCAAGGTCCATGTAAGATTTTAAACTGGGAGTCCTAACTTTAGGTATAAGAATGAAAGTTTAGGGCCTCCCTGGTGGCATGAGGGGTTAAGCACCGCACTATGAAGCAATCCGCAGCCTCTGCAGCATGAGTTCGATTCCCGGCTGGCCAGGAAGAAACCCACATGGTGAGGCAGACCTCCCCTGCTCTCGCTGCTGCTCCGCTCAGCACTGTACTTCAGTCAATCTGCCTGTTCTGTTCCCCACTCTGTCTCTGGTGAATCCTCTCACCCCAACCCCCACACCTCCGGCTTGTACCCCATAAATAAATACATCTTAAAGAAAAAATGAAAGTTTAAGAAACTTTCAGAATAAAAACTCCAGCATTACCCTAGGGGAGGTAATGTGGACTCTGCAGCTGATGGATCCTTACTGGTAAGTAAAACCACAGAAGACTCTCTAGAAATAGGAACAGGTTCACAATCCTTTATTCAAAACTTAGGGGCCAGGATTATTTACAAATTCAGAGATTTTTTTTGTTTGTAGAAAGTGTATGTTGTATCTGCCATTGCAGTATGTGAAATCTCAGTGAGATATCACATAATGTGTAATGTGTGTAATGAAAACATTATTTTTTTGCATTGGAAATGTTAAGTTACAATAAGTAGTCTTAGAAATTCTGTAATTGGATATATATCATTCCAGGTCAGATATTGCTGCCAAAATAAGTTCAAGTCAGGTCAGTTTCTGTTATCGAGGAGGTTTTGAAAAAGACTTTGCGTTTTCAGGGCTTTTTGTATATTCACTTGCAATAAACATTTGAGGGTCTGACAGTCATTGGATATTTTGCTTTCCCATATACTTTTGGAAGGTTTACTGCTTTTGGTACATGGCTCTGAAATTGCAAGATAATATTTAACAGTAATGAGGAAACAGAAAGTCATTTCAGTGCCAGAAGTTTGAGACTGCAAAGTCATACAAGCACTAAAACATGCTCAGAGGAAGTGTTTTGAATTGTAAAAAAAGAACGTTGTTGGAATGAAGTCTATAGTCTTTTCAGTTGTTGTTGTTGTCCTCCTACAGAAAAAAGAGCTTGTGGATTTCTCAGTCAACCCTCAAGCAGACAGCACATTTCAGTTTTTTGACCAGCATCTGATCGAATCTGTTAAACTGGGTGATCCCAAAGTACATGAATTCCTTAGGTTACTTGCTCTCTGCCACACAGTAATGTCAGAGGAAGATAGTGCGGGTAAGTGGACAATGTGTCTGAGTGGTGAATTTTCTTTTGATTTGTCCTTTAGCCTATCATTTTTATTAAGATTTTGGGAATTAAAAGGATTTTCTAAAGTAGAACATTGCATAAGTGGTTCACCTGTCACTAGCTTTTCTTTGTATTTATTTATATCCCGAGTGTTTTCCCCCCAAATGTGAAGAGAATTAGAAGAAAAGCAAAAGAAAAGCAAAAGCAAAAGAAAAGCAAAAGGAGCATTGGAAAGATGAGAGCTTAAATGTTCCAGTTAAAGGGGATGAAATATTTCTTATGATTGAGTTCCACATTGGACTGGGAGCTTCCTGGTAGCTGGGTGATTAGGGAAATGCAGATGAATCACTTAACTGTCATTATTAACACACGTATCTAATAGATGCAGATGACCATTAGAATGAGTTTTCCCAGGAATGAGGATAGATTTGCACTGATATTAGAAAACTCTTACTTAGTTCCCAATATGAACAATTTCCCACAAAAGTGGGAGTAGTGTTCATAGAATAGAACAAAATCAGCTGTGACCCTTTAATATTGAAGCAATGAGGCAGTAGCTAATGCTAGTAAATTGACTTCTTGCTCCAATAGGGCTCAATCTATTTCATTTACAAGTTTTATTTCTTTCTGCTATCTACTATTGAGTTAATGTCACAAGTAATTTTAAATCAGAAGTGAAATATATGTATAATATATGGTCTATATATGGTAAGTATACTATATATTGACTGTATATGTATTTGTGTGTTGTGTGTATATTATATATGCATACATAAAATTTATAGGTATATTTTATTTATGTATATCTTTTCTTTGTGTACTACATTATAGCTATTGTTTTGCCCTTGATAATGCTGATCTACTCCATTCCTCCATTTTTAATTGCTGTGAGGATTCACATAACAATATTTATGACTTAAACTGATCTTTGTTAGTGCTAATTAATGATTTAATATATTTTTATCTGAAGATGTTATGATGGCATTAGGTTTCTCTTATCTGTGCCTTTGAGTTTATTTCAATTCCCAAACTATTTTATTTTAACAGCACCTGTTTTTTATTTACATATTCTCTTTAATGATATTAGTTTGCTTAATTATTGAATGTTTAATTTGATGTTTTCTCTATTATGTTCCATTTTATGAAGAGTTATTTCTTGAGTTCTGTGTCTAACTTTCATGTTTTCCTCTAATGTTCGGTGATTTGTGGTTACCTGCTCTTATTGTGTTTGAGAATCCCTGCTTCCCTCTTGGTGAATGTAGGCTCTGATTACAGTGACCAGTCTCCATGATTGTCAAGCAGAGAGTACTGAGTAGAATTTGGTAATAAATTTTACTAAAGGTGACCCCAGGAGCACTTTCACTTTTCTCATTTGTTGACCTTGAGTTTGGATTATCTTTGGGGGTTGCTTTTACCACCTTGTTTTCTTCTACAGATATTTTGAGTTGCTATTTTCTCTCTTATTTTGATCTCTTTATTTTCCAGAGAAATTTCTGGTTTACTGATAACATTCAGTCTTTCAGTACCATTTACAAAATTTTTCATTTTGTGATATAGTTCAATGTACCCAAAATGCGCATATTTTAAGTGTATTGTTAAATGAATTTTCATAATTATAGACACCATGTAATCATCATCCCTTTTAATGTTTACCTATTTTCCATCACTCTACAAAATTACTCCTGTTCCTTTTCATTCTACACCTCCAACCCTGTCCAATCAACCACTTGAATGAATTTTGCTTGTTCTTGTACATCATATAAATGGAACCATACATTATGTATTCTTTTGTATCTGGCTTTTCAGGTCATGTAATGTTTTTATCATTCATGCATATTGTTGTACTGTAGGGTAAATGAGTTAATTGGGTTTTTTATGCCACTAGCCTCTGTGATTATCATCTGTGGCCTTGATCATGTTACTGCAGAAGGTGTGTGGGCATGGGGCATGTGTGCCTGACTGTGGACACCTGCAGTGTGGGTGTGTGCGCATGTGCAAGTGTGCACATCTATGCCTAGGAGGGAGGGGATAAAAAGGCAGTGTCACCCTGGGGGAGGGGAACTCAAGTTGCTCTCTCCCTGCTTTCTTGATTCCCCTGCTTATTATTAAAACCTGTGAAGATGATGCCAAGGGCTCCAATGTTCTCTTTTAAACTGTTAGAACTAATGGTGAACCCACCCAGCCTGGGATAGTTGCATAACATAAATCAATCATAGTTTATTCCTTCTTTCATCACTAAGTAACATTCCAGTATGTGCTCTACCACAATTTTCTCCACCGTCCTCTGTTGATGTGAAACAGTGGTGTTGTTTCTGACTTTGGGCTATTATGAGTAAAGCTGCCACAAAATTTTTATGTCTCGAAATTTTTTTTTAAAGATTTATTTATTTATTTATTTATATAAGCACTGGGTACAGTCAGAAGCGCGGGAGGGTAAGAGAATTCACCGAGTCAGAGCTGGGAGCAGAGCAGGCAGACTGACGAAGTACACTGCTGAGGGGAGCAGCGGGTGGCAGGAGAGGTCTGCGCGCCATGTGGGACCCTCCTCTGGTGGCCAGGGAGCAGCCGGGGATCGAACCGGTGCTGCAGAGGCTGCGGGCAGCTTTGCAACCCAGCGCTCAACCGCTACGCCACCGAGGAGGCCTGTCTTGAAATTTTTTGAAACAAATTTGTTTTCAGTTAATACGTAGGAATTGGAATTGCCAGATCTCCATTTAGGTATACATTTAACTTTCTAAGGAATTGTTGAACTATTTCTAAAGTGTTTGCGTCATCGTTTTGTGCCACGTTCAGCCTATAGAGATGCTAGAAATGCCTGGAGCACTCACCTACATCTGTGGTGGGACCCTGTAGACGTTTGCCCGGTTGGACCCAATGTTGTGGCTGGTCTGGCCCTGGTGGTTCTTAGTACTTGCAAGGTGCCCTTCAGCAACAACCGTAGGGAAACTTTGAAAAGACACTGTTTATAACTCACAGGTCCTGGAGGAAACACTGTCCACAATGGCCACATGGCGAGTTGGGAGGAATGGGAACAGAACATGAGCACAGGCCTGAGGTTCTGCTTTCAGTAGCGCCCAGGGTAGAGGGCCTAGCATTTTATGTATTCATCCTTTATTGAAGAATTTATAATATCTTTTAAATTCTTAAAGTGTGGGAAAGGAAACAAGTTGCCAAATGGTGAGTTGTCTAAGTCAATCAGACATCTCAAACAAAGGAGACTTCAGCTGGGCCTTTTGGCTCTTCACCTGGTCCTGTAGGCAGTAAAGAGTTTGCTGAAGATGCTATCTTTGAAGTGGATGCCTGAGCCATCAAATCTAATGCCAGGCACTTATGCTGCCATTAATAAACCACCACATCTGGGCCTCCCCGGTGTTGCAGCAGGTTGAGCGCAGTGCTGTGAAGCTGTCCACAGCCTCTGCAGTGCTGGTTCGATTTCCAGCTGGCCAGGGAGATTCCCACATGGTGCAACAGACCTCTCCTGTCTCTCCCACTGCTCCCCTCGGCAGTGCTTTCAGTCCTTCTGCCTGTTCTGCTCCCTGCTCTGTCTCGGGTGAATTCTTTTCATCCTTCCTTGCCTCTGGCCTGTACCCCAGTGCTTGTATAAATAATAAACAAATCTTTAAAAAAAAAAACCCACCACATCTGTCAGGTGCTTATACTACCATCATTTTACATTCCCACCAAACTTTGTTTTAAAACAAATTTCTTTCTTTATTCTTGAATATTGTTCTGCTGTCTGTAAAAATTTCTGGTGACAATTTTTTTTTCTCAGCACATTGAAGATAACACACTGTATTTGGTGGCTATTTCTGTTACTGAGTAGTGACAATCAGCCATCAATTCTAATTATGACTTGAAGGTAATCAATCTTTAAAGATATCGTCTTTCATGTTCTGCTGTAAAGGTGTGAATTTTAAAACACTTATATTGTTTGGGATGCATTGAGAGTCTTGAATCTGTAGAAGGTTGACTTATGTTGTCTCTAGATTTTTCTACACCAATTATTTCTCCACATTGTCTCTGACTCAGTTCCCCTCACATATTAGATCTTCATTGTTAGACATTTTCATTCTATTCTCTAATGTCTTTTAACAATTCTCTCATTTTTCTATTTCTTTGTCTTTCTAGAATATATTCTGGAATTTTCTCCCTAGTTCATTAATTTCTTCTCTAAGAATATCTACTCAGCAATTTTGATTTTTAATTTCTATAGTCTTTGAATGTTCAAGTATGCTTAACTTCATGCATCACTTTTATGTTTTGAAATCTATCAAATATTTGTATTTACTGTTTTTGATAATTCTAAATCTAAAGGTTTTTGCAGAGCTTGTTCTCTTTTTGTTCTCACTGTATCTTCTTTATTGTGGTTTCTATGATTTTTTTCACTGTGAAATGAAATGACCATTTTATTTGGAACTTTATTTTAGGAATTTTGAGGCAAAAGCTTGTTTCTCCAGAAAGGTTTTGCATTTAGTCACTGTCCTAATGCAGGAACATATTAAATTAAATTTCCAGCCTGATTTTTGTGAAATTTTCAAGGTACATCTCTAGTCACTGAAAACACAAAGGTGTGGTCTTTGAGGAAACTGCAGCATAGTGGACGGGCAGACTTAAGAATGAACATTTTTCTGTAAGGTGACAAGGGCTGCACTGTTGGATGCATGGGGTCCCGTGGTACCCCACAATTAGGCATCTGATGGACCTGTCGGTTGGTGAATAGAAAAGGTCTGATTTGTAGAGCTGACACTTGATGGGGAGTGACCAAGTAATTAGATCGTGATTTTGTCATTCTAGGAACATTAGTCCCTCTCTGCATTGATATGTGTAGGGTAAGGTAAAAAATATCACGCTTTTCTGCCCTCCCACCATCAGGATAGATGATGGATCCTTGCGGTTCTGAATGCATGCCTGATGGCGGGCACCTGGAGTAGGGTGTGGGCATAGGTAGATGGGATTCACCTGGGCTAAGACTGCGCTTTTAAGGGCAGCATCACGGGGACGCCAGCAGAACCACGAAAGGAGCAGGGGCCACCTGAGAATGCTGGAGAGCCCAGAAAGAGTGAAGACTTGCTGGGGCCTGGGAGGCCTGCCAGCCTCCCGGCCCCCCAGCACCCCTGCCTGCTGTGTACCTGGTAAATCCCAATAAAAGCCTGAAAAGCCACTGAGGACTCTAGGACTTCTCCTTCATCCTGTCTGCATAGAATCATAGACATTCTGCACTGTGCCCATTCCTGCCACTACAATATGTTTGTTTTGTAACCATCCCAGGACAGGTAGGTTCATCTTCAGTTCTCGCAGATGAAAAGATGATTTGGGAGGCTTAGGTAGATTTTTACATGCCTTTAATGCTAAATCAGGATACAGACCAGCTCTCTCAATATTTGTCTCCTCTCGTCTCTCCTATCGCCTCAGGGTGACGCAGCCCTTATAGCCCCTTACCCCTCAGCACAGGTGTCACCATTTCCATGTGCACATGCCCCATGCTCTCTGGACCCAGGTGCCCATAATTACAGGTGCGGTGCGTGCACAAGACCACGGGGACTGGCCAAGGAGGCTAATGGCAGGATGAGAGGGGGAAAGTCTGATGCCTTCATTTACCCTACATTTGTTTCTTTTCTTTTTTCTTTTGTATACTCCTTTGGGGCTGTTGTTTAAAATTCTTGTTTCTCTTCCTTTTAGGACAGCTGATTTACCAAGTTCAATCGCCTGATGAAGGAGCTCTAGTGACTGCTGCCAGAAATTTTGGGTTCATTTTTAAGTCTCGAACCCCAGAGACGATAACAATAGAAGAATTAGGAACACTGGTTACTTATCAATTGCTTGCCTTTTTGGATTTCAACTATATCAGAAAAAGGATGTCTGTCATAGGTACGGGTGGTAACTGAGATTATTTTCGATCTTTTGCTAGCACTATGGGTATCTTGACGCTTTCCGGGGATGATTTCACTCTTGGTTATGTGCTGAGAGTGGTGGTATTTTTGTATCTTTATGATATAACCTTATATAACCTTATATAACCTCAGCAATGTCACAATAAGCATAACACTATTTTAACCAGTCTAACATTGTTCTAAATGTTCTACATGATTTAATTTTCACGATAATCCTGTCAGGACATATTACTTTTATGACCATTTTACAGATAATGAAATTGAGACACAGAGACTGAGTAACTCTCCCAAGACCACTTAGCTTGAAGTGGAATGGCTGGGTTGCAAACCAGAAAGTCTGATTGCAGAATCCATTTGCCGAGTGACTCCCTGACTCTGGCTCCAGAAGAATTCCTGAATTGCTTGGCATGAGCTAGTTGTTGATACTGTTCTGTGACCATCATCATCTGCCTTCTCATTGTCATCTGTGTGTTCTGTTCACCTGCCTCCCTGATAGTGTCCAGCACCACATCAAATCCATTCTTTCTTAACTGTTCTTACCCTCAGTGCTGCTTCAACATCCCTTGCATTCTTTTTTTGTTTTTATTTATATATTTTTTACATCATTGTTCATTTTTAAACAATGTTTGCTTACACCCCACCTCCCAGGTATAGTCCCCATAGAATTTCCTTCCCCAATGCACCTGTGCACCATCACCTCAGTCCCCTGTGCTCCTCCCTCCCTCCCTCTAATCCCTCTCCCTCCTCCTCCCCTGCAAGCAAATTGCAGATAAAAATGCCTCTCATTCTTATTTTACTTTTTTTTTAAAAAAGATTTTATTTATTTATTTATTTATTTATACAAGCACTGGGTACAGTCAGAAGCACGGGAGGGTGAGAGAATTCACCAGAGCCAGAGCGGGGAGCAGAGCAGGCAGAAGGACCGAAGTACACTGCTGAGGGGAGCAGCGGGCGGCAGGAGAGGTCTGCGCACCATGCGGGACCCTCCTTCGGTGGCCCGGGAGCAGCCGGGGATCGAACTGGCACTGCAGAGGCTGTGGGCAGCTTCACAACCCAGCGCTCAACCGCTGTGCCACTGGGGAGGCCCATTTTACTTCTTTTCTAATCCTTGACACAGACATTCTAAACCGCCTTCCTCAAGTCCTCAACCCTGCAAGATCACTTCATTTTTTCAAAGCTAAATTCATCTCCTCTTGAAGAAAATAGCCTCAGAGATGCACATCATTGACTTATATTTTCCTCATCCTTATCCTTTATCCCCAAGTGATAGCTTTACTCACTCTCTTTTCTACCTCAGAGGAAAATTGCCCTTGTTCTGTTTCAAAATTGAAGTTTCTACCTTATCCCATACCCATTATCCCCTTTCTTGCTTGCTTCTCATGGCTTGTGCCTGTGATACCTTCTTCGCCTTCATCATAACACGAGCATGTTATCAGGCCCAGGTTAGAGCACGTGCTACCCCAGGGGCCCCACTTTGCCTGCTTTCGTTGTCTTCAACTGCCCAGGGCCAAGCACAGAACTCTTCACACAGTAGATTTTCTACATGTGTCGTTAAACAAAATTTGACTTAACCCTTAGTAACTTGAAAATATCCTGCACATCAGATGAAATCAGATTCTACCATAGAAAACAAGTGCGTGAACAAAATGGTAGGGATTTTGGTCTCTAACAACTGGAAATTAGCCCCAGGAGACTGATCGCAGCAGGTAAAAACCAGACATCATCTGCGGATGTTTATTTATTTTGGACAGAAGGCTGTGGGCAGTCGTCATCGGCGTCACTGAGGAGCACATGTGCTGCTCGGGGGTGGCCTCGTGTGTGTCAGCAGGTGTTATCAACTTACAGCTTCAGGGAAAGTGTTGCTGATGCTGAGCTGGCCCAGACAGTCTTCTTTGCTTTGAGGGTGTTGACAAAAGCCTGAGATTGCTACACAGGGAAACTTATGGCCTCCCCCCATGCTGGTCACCATTACAGGCTGTGGAGAAATCGCAGCCCAACCACAAACACTAGATGTTTGCCTTAATTGGTCCCAGATGAGGAAAGGTAATGCACCACCACAGAAGGCATGGAGGCTTGTGGGCTTTTTTCTGGCTCTGTTTGGTTTATAATTAGCAGGAATTTGAAAGAGGGACTCCATTAAGGCCAAAAAAAAAAAAAAAGTTTCTGTTAGACAACAAGGCAAAAAACAACCCTATTCTCATGATTGTCACATGGTTTGGTCTGTGGGGACAACACCCTGATGTGAAGACTCAGACATTTGCTGCTACTGCTATTGCTGCTACTGCTGCTTTTCCTTCTCCTTCCTTTTTTTTTTGGTTTGACTCTCAGTTACTGAATCATGAATGTATAGTTTTAACTCCAATATTACTTTGATTCTGAGGCACACAAGCCTCCATGCCTTCTGATTTAATTAAAAGATAGCTAAATAAAAATAGATTTCCTTTTTAATTTTATATGTATTTTACATCATTTTTCCTTTTTGTACAATGCATGCTTTCTCCTCTCACATGTAGTCCCCATAGAATTCCCACTACCAGTTCACCCGTGCACTATCACCATAGTTCCTTGTGCTCTTCCCGCCCATGTTTTGATCCCTCTCCTTCCCCCTCCCTGCAGGATATCTCTGATTGATAGTTATCTGTTAATTTTGTGTTTTAATTTATTGTAATTATTTTTTCCTGATCTCTTATTTGTTTCCCCTACATTCCTCCTATAAGTGAAACCATCCTGTATTTTTCTTTTTCTTTCTGGCTTGTTTCACTGAACATACTCCCTTCTAGCTTCATCCATGTTGCTGTGAATGGCATGAGTTTACCTTTTTGATTACTGAGTAATATTCCATTGTGTGTATATACCACATCTTCTTGATCCAGTTACCTAAAATACAGATTTCTTATAAAGAACTTTTTCAGAGGGTATGGAATCTGCTCTATTGATAAACATAAATCTCATGGTTTTATAGGACCAATTATACCAATTCTGAAAATAAAAATATAGCTATAAAATTCAAAGATAACTAATAAGAGAGGCAAGTGGCAAATAACCATTACAGAAGAATAAATTACAATAGTTCTTGGAAAAGCCCTTACAAGAACTTTAAATAAGGACATATATGAATAGCCACTCAACAAATATGGCAAATGTTGCTATTACATTTACTCTTACAGCATAAACCTGGAGGTCATATGTACTTACAAGCCACTTGTGAGATTTTGGCCCTCTTTATTTCACAAAATCCTCACTGCTGCTTTCAATGCATTTTGCATTGATAATTCAACTCAATGAAACAAATATTTATTAGATCCTTAATCAAAATAGATTGTTTTCTCAATAATATGACAAGTAAAATTATAAATGTGCCTTTTTTTCCTTTTCTGATGGCTGATTTATGAAACAGAATCATCAGATTTTGTGTGTATGAAGCAATAGTACATATGTCTCTGAACAAATTGGTATGTTTCATGTATTCAGTCATATCAGAATCCATTTAAAGTAATATCAGTAGTAAGTTTGTAAAAATATTTCTAAATTATTAATAATCATTTGAAACTGTGATTATTCATTCCATAGAAAAAAGGAAATCATGTTTCTGTTCTCCCTACTGAAAATTATGTGTTATAATACTGTTCTCATAGAAAGTGGCAATCAATGAATATGCAACCAAAAAAGGTTATGAATGAGTGTAAGGTTGTTACTGAAAAAATCCTGATATTTTTCTGTAGGAAAAAAAAGGTTCATCTTTACTGGACCAAAAAATCATAAAGCTGGAAAGGACTTTAGAAGCTTGATTGAGTAAGCAATCCTTTCACTTGTAATTCCTCCTTTCAAATATAGAAACTGAGATGAAGAGATGGCAAGGGATTTGTGGTTCTCAGTGTGTGCCCTATGGAACCCTAGGAAATCTTGAGAGATTTTCAGAGGACAAAAACTTCACAAGGAAAAAAATATTTTCATGATAACACTAACTTTTTTTGTCTTTTTCATTTTCTTCTCACCAGTATACTGTGGAATTTTACAAAAGCCACATAACATGTGATATAACAACAGGTTGAATGTAATAAATAGATAGGAAAGTCCAATTTTCTCTATTAAGCCAGACTTTGAAAAGATTCATAATTATGTAAAAAAAGCCATTCTCCAAACTAAGCTACTTTGAAATTAGTAATTTTTCTTAGTAATGTTATATGTTCATCTGCATTAGTTTATTATAATTATTTTATAATTTATAAATGTATAATTATTAGCATTATAAGACTTGATATAAAAAGCCTGTTTTAATTTCTAATGTCATAAATGTTGATAGAACTCATATTAAATGGCTCTTTGAAGTCCTTATAAAGTTTCAAGAGAGTAAAGGAACTTTGAGGCCAAAACATTTGTGAATTGATGTCCTAAATTAGACATAAAACTAGTCATAGAAAAATCATACTGGCAAATGCAGGATATACATACATTGCTTTTATAGTTGTGATGGAAGGGAGAAAATATGGGGGGATTATTAAATTGGATTTTTATAAGGGAAAAGCAAGAGAAAGCCTTTTTCCCTAGGATTGAATGAACCTGTTCTTAAGAGGGCAAGAAAAGTCTATAGGAGTTTTGGCAAGTAGGAAAACTTACCAAGGATCTTAGAAGAGAGGACAGCCCTAGAGAAGCTCCAAAAAACTGACGTTTCCAGGGTACATTGAATCTATTCAAGCCAGGAAGAAACTAGAATAGGTTAAGTGTTGAATAAGTGTAATTATAGTTTAGAAGGGAAAATAAATTGTTATACTTTGATACTGTATTTCTTTAAATCCAGCTCTAGATTGTGTGTGCTATTAAACTAATAATAATCAGTATTTATGCTCACCTATTTTGAGGCACTTGATATTTAAAGAAAAGGTATATGTAAGTGGAAATCAGTAATAATCTCTGATTCAGTTGATAAAACCTTTGAGGGTCAGAGTATGCAGACAGTGAAGTATGACCCAGATAGTCATCTTAAATTTTAGGTATTTCCTGTTACATTTTATCAGTTCTACTAAGACAGACTTCCAGTGGGAAGAAGGTGGACATTTTAATTTAAAAAACCTCTATGAAGTGTACTTGTCCCCCAGATTGTGACCCAAGAGTGAACCAGTACGAATAGATGAACTTTTCCAAGAAGTAAAAGGTAAGAAATAAGTCAGCAAGGCTGAGAACTAATGCATAAACCATGGCTTCGAATGCCTAGAAGTCCATATGAAGATCTTCTGACATACAACAGCTAGTTGTTTCATGCAGTTGAACTTGAACTTCACACCAGGAGACAGGCAAATTCTCTTCTCAATATAGAAATCTTAATTCAAATCTATCAAAATTTCAGAAATGGCAGGCAAGAAAAATAAAAATGTCATACAGATCAAAATGAAAATACTTGTTTGTGAGTTTGGGAAATTAAAGGAGTCTAATAAATCAAAGATTTCTAAGTTAAGAAAACAGGAATAAAGCCAAATGACTTAGGTAGTGAACATCCAGCAAAAGGCATGACGATTTTACTACTGGTTAAAGCTTTGTGCTCTTTTCCAGACTGCCTGGTTGGAGTGCTGTATGTATCTGGTTTGGATGGATCTCTTTGATTACACTCTATTTTTCAAATATTTTTTTCTTTTTCAGTTCGAAATCCAGAAGGACAGATAAAACTTTATTCCAAGGGAGCAGATACTATTCTGTTTGAAAAACTTCATCCATCCAATGAGGATCTTCTGACTTTGACATCAGATCATCTCAGTGTAAGTGCCTCTCTCTCGCAAGGTTAGCAGAGCGGCTCTTTGGTCACTTTCTATGGTTTGTCTTATTTCAAAAGTAGCAGCTAAATGATCTGACTTCTAAAATGGAAAGCATTTAATGGCTGGAAACTGGCACAGGAATCCCCTTCTCCTGCCCTGTGAGAAGCGTGGTCAGTGGAATTGCAGGAGGATTAATGGCATCTGAGAAGTAGCCACTGAGTGTGGGTTCCCCAAATTCACTCAGGAGAAGGCTCAGGACACCTACAGAGAGATACTCTAACTCTCCTGCAGTTTGGTGCTGCTCCCCTAGGAAGACTGGTTCTAGAAAGAGGAGCAGGGGAGTTGCTTTCCTTTAGCAACTCTGACATGTTAGACATATCTTCCTGATGTCTAACACCAATGGAATCTCTTTTTGATTACTCCCAAGATTTTGATTAATCTTTTTGATTACTAGCTTAAAGTTGTGGTTAGGTGTTGAGGGGAAAATTATTTCTGTAGTCAATTTTCTCCTGCAAGGATCCTATATTTCAGGTAGTAGATCATAATGCATCACTTACTTTCCTAAGCTGAAGCTATCAAAACCATACGTTCTAATACTATGCATATTTTCCAAAAGCTTTCTAAAGGGACTAGGGTTGGTTTTTCACACTTTTTTTTTAAAGTATAAGAGTCTATGAATTAATATCAGCAATTTCTGGTTTATATCTGAGAATTAGGTATTTCTCTACCATTTGTTTGATGTTCTGTTTAATCCAACATGAATTGGAGGTATAGCAAACCTGTGCTTTAAAAATCATCGAGGAGTCATGTTCTTTTCAAGCACTATATTTAATACAAAACATTCCCTGACTCCTTAAAAAATAAATAAAATAAAAAAATTGCCTGACTTTAAGTTTAAAGAATGACAGTTCAGTAATACTGGTTACACACATAGCTATTGTTTTTGTCTTTCCAATGAGCATTCTTGATTTTCTTTTAATCTCTTCCAGAAGGTCGGCATGGTCTTTTAAATTTTTTTTTTATGAAAACAACATTAGAATCATAAGTATCTGATTTTTACCACTGCCTCACACCAAGGCCTTGGATAGTCATACATTGTCCTTTCATGCTGAAATATGAATTTGGTCTTTTCACATTTCTATGCAAAATAATTTTTTTCTTTTTTTTTTTTAGGTAACAACAATTTTGCTCTTGCTTTATTTGTTTTATTCATTTTGGCTTCTAAATTCTGAGGTTTTAAATTTATATTCAATTATTGATTTTGAATTGTTCAATGATAGGAAACAACCTTGCTCAAATACTCATTTAGCACTAAACTTGTATTTCATGCACTAATTAAATAACTGAAATCATCTGTCCCCTTTTGTAATGTAGTCTTAGAGTTGATTCACTGCAGTGCAGAACAGAGAAAAGCATTGGTAATGCCCAGTGGGCTTGTGACTTAAAGGCAAATAAGTGTTTTTGCAAATTAAGAGGACAAAAGATCATTACAAGACAGTAACCAGATTTTCAGATCAGCAGGGGACCCAGTGGGGATCTTGGAAGGCAGGGCCTGTAACATGTGATTGCAATACCCAAAGTACTACCAACTGCCTGCAGGATGAATGTAAATTTAAATATTTTTTTTCTCATGTTCTCTCTAAATCACATAATCGCAATATCCACTGCCCTTCATTTACCTAGTTAGTGTGTGTCATGGTTTGACTTGTGCCTGATCACAAACCTCTGTCTTTGCCATAAGCCAAAACATAACAGAGAGTGCTCTATGGCAATGCCCAAAGCAGCAGAAATGACTGTTAAAATGCTTGCATTGTCCAGGCCTGTGAAAGGACTACTGGGGTCCTAGGTGAAGTGGAGCGTTTTAGTAGTTCCCCAAAGCAATCTACATATGCGACTGTGGGTGGTGTGAGACACCTAGCAACTACCAGTCTCCTATTAAATTTATTTTTTCTTACTGTAAGGGTAAAGCACCAGAGGTATCATTAAAATGATCCATTTATGGAGACATGAAAGGGAAAGTATAGTTCTCTGATTTATTTGACTAGTTATTAAATGTTAATGTCACAGAAAATAGTTGCTAAAAAAGAATGACATTACCCTGACTTGATGGTGTTCTTAAAATTTCAAAAAGCTTTTATTATCAAAAGTTTCATATAGCAAAAAAATTTTCAAAGGATTCAGAATGACAAAAAGCCATCTCTGCTTCTAGTTCTGTGTCCCAGAAGCAAACGTTATTATTAGCTTTCTGATATTTCTCATTCCCTCCCCCTAGCGATGACTATTATAACCTTAATTCAAATATTTAAACCTCCATTACCTGACTAACAACTACTTATTCATCCATTACTGACTTTTAACTTTTATTATGCAAATTTTCAAATGTGAACAGAATTAAGATTCTGTTAAATTTAGACACAGCTATATCATTAGTGGGAAGGCGACAAGATTTGGGTGAGGTGTCATGCAATTCCTTGAGAGAGCCTCTTGCCTTTGATTTGCAAGCTGACTCCTCCGAGGGCACTTTCCTCTCCACTAGAAACCAAAGGTCCCTCCTGTTGTTGTTAGGAGTACTTCCTCCTGGCAAAGGTTAGGTTGGGAACTAATATGTATTGTTTCAAATTGATACCTTAAGTTTGGGGAATCATGGTTACCTTTCAACTAGCATACTTCGGAAGGTATTTCAGCCATCTTTAGGGGGGATGGCTAACTTCCCTAAATGTTTTAACCCCATAGAAATAAACTGCCAAATAAAAACATTTCTTCTGATTTCCCAGGGAATTAAAGAGATGGAGGCCCAGTAAGTGCTCTTGGGACAAAAACTATCTGAGTGAAAAACTTCTTATTCAATATTGTTGTTATTGTTTTGTATTTATTGTTTTGCAGTTGTTCCTAAGTCTATGTCTGCTTTGGCAGGAGTTTGCAGGGGAAGGCCTTCGAACCTTGGCCATCGCATACAGAGATCTGGATGACAAGTACTTTAAAGAGTGGCATAAAATGCTGGAAGATGCAAATGCTGCCACAGATGAGAGGGATGAACAGATAGCTGGGCTGTATGAAGAAATTGAAAGGGATTTGATGGTATGAATTTGGAAGTATGATGGTTTGTGTTTATAGAAGGATATTATGTGTTTAGAGATCTAGCGTAGGAAAAATTCATTGGCTAAACCATCTTGCTCACAGCAGCTGTTACTTTTTCAAACACTGAATCATGCTTTATGTGCTGGCTTTGAGTTTGCCATGTATGGTCCTAGAAAGACCAGAGAATAATTTTCATTAGCAGTTGCTTATGCAATCGGCAGTTCCCTCAGGAGCAGAAGATAATGGACTCCCTATTCTTTTTCAATGTCTGGTATGTTCTCGATGTTATGCTTTACTTTTTTCTCCCTGCTTTTTGATCCACCTTTTTTTAGAACAGGGAAACTTGCCATAAAGAGTAAGCTATAGCTCTAAACCATCCTAAGTCCATGAAATTCTGGTGATATCTATGCTGTCCAGAGTATGACTTATTCTAGATACCATTCTTCCCTGAGGCCCCAATAGCCACTGTGCTAGACTATCTTGTGGTTCCACAGCTTGTCTCATTTATCTTTGGATGAAATATTGTGCAAGTACTTTTTTTTTTTCAGTTTATGGCATCTGCTGGCTAGTTTAGGAAAATAGCTCTATCATTTTGTGATCCTGATTACAGAAATGAGGGCTTTCCTTCATGTTTTCTGAGCCTTTCAGACCTTTCGTATAAATTCTAACTTCCAGGATTGCCATTAATTTGTGTGCCCATCAATTGGCTTGACTTAGGAATCTTCTCTTGGGTTCTTTCCTTACCCTGTTGTGCACACAATTGTTTGCTGGCAAATTAATGTGTCCTAACATATCTTCAATTCATATTTTTTGATCTCTAAACTCTGTGATTGAAAGCCATAGATGCTATTTGCATGCATTAACATAAGGTATTCTCTATTTTTCAATGAAGCTACTAGGTGCCACTGCTGTTGAAGATAAGTTACAAGAGGGGGTTATTGAAACAGTTACAAGTTTATCACTAGCCAATATTAAGATCTGGGTCCTCACAGGAGACAAACAAGGTAACTTAAAAATGAATGATTACGATATTTTGAAAAGGGGTGATAATTTCTATGGTAAAATTTTATTAACCAGAAAGCTTAATTAATTAGATATTTTCCCAGTGCCTCACACAGGAGAGTTGAATTATAAAAAAAGGAAAGCTAATATATTACAAGAATTTACAATTTAAAAGCAAACAAAAGCTAACAAAATAACTTCTATAGTATACTCGGGGGTCAATTGAATTTCAACTCAGTTGCCTCTTAAACATAATATAATAGTTACACCTATGGAGACAACAGTGATGTTTGAAATGGTTAGCCATTGGTTTGTACAAGCACAGCGCCTAATCAGAACAGAGGCACAGGACTGAAGCAGGATGGTGGCCTACATCTTAATTTCTTGATGGTAGGGAAGTTTGAGAATCTTAGAGGAAGAATCAGTGTTTAAGGTAGGCTTTCGGGAGGCTCGGGGAAACCAGCTATTTATCAACTGATTTGGAAATATTTTGATATTTCAACTACTACACCAGCTGCACCAGTGCAACTTGACTACTGCCCATCTGTGGTACAATGATAGCTGACCCACTTTCAGGCATGACAAAATGCCAAGTTATCAGACAGATACACTGTCTCTGAATACTGTTCAAAATACACTGTTTCCTAAGAAAGAAAAGGGGGTCGGTACATTTTGGATCTTGTGCTAGAAGAAATGGTTAAAACCAAGAGGATTTTATGCTTGGTTATCAGTAAACCAGTTGACTGGCATGCATATGTCTTTAAAATTCTATGTACCTCTTACATATTTTTTAGAACCTTGGAGGATTTTCAGATCTGATTAATCAGTTCTCTACATATTTACCCAACTCAGTGGTTATAAAAAATAAATAATAGGGAGTTGAACACAGTGGTATGTTATTAAATAGAGATTTTCTAGAGTTTGATGCTGGTCAGTGGCTATACTTATTCAATTAGTTAAGAATATCCACAAGTTTACTATTATTTAGCTTTAACTTCTGGTTCATACAAAGGACATCCTGAGATTTTAACAATTTTCTTCCAAAAATCTAATTACTCTGTATAATTAGCTAGAATCTAATGACTTAATAGAATTAGAATTAAATGGATACTGGAAATGGAAGTGTTACCTAACAAACCTCGAATACATTTCTGTACAATTTGAGGAAGGAACAACCAACATCATGTAATTCTCTATCTCTAGAGGAGCAATAACCCTGGGTGGTTTCTGAGGTGATAGTCAAATTTCAAATTTCTTTTCGTTTAATGGGAAAATGGCAAAGCTGCATGTGGGAGAACTATAAAAACTTTATAAGAGCATTTTGTGAGTTTTCTTTCAATTTGCCTACTATATCAAAATTGAATAGTAGCTCAATTTGGTATTTTATCTCTCCTAAGGCACTATTTGGGATTTCTGGTAAAATGATTTTTATTTATACATTTTACCTAATAGAATTAGAATTAAAGATGTTAGGGTAAGTTTATAAGTACTGATTTTGGGACTCAAACAGGTTTTTTCAAAAACTAAGTAAAAAGGCTGAAGAGACAGAGATGTTGCTTTTTCTCTATGGATTTAACAAGTAGTGAATTTGATCATGGAACCTAGAGCTTCAAGTTTTATCACTCATTCATCATATTCTCTCTGACATTAAGGGTACCCATAGGTTCTAAGGAAATGTAACAGTAGCCTCAAAACTTTTATAGAAAAGGTACATATGCTATTAAGTGATGGTATAACTGATATGGCGTTTATTTTGTATCAGAAACTGCCATCAACATTGGCTATGCCTGCAACATGCTGACTGATGACATGAATGCTGTATTCATTATAGCAGGGAACACAGCGGTGGAGGTCAGAGAAGAACTCACGTAAGTGTTAAAGGAAGGAGGTAAGCGTGAGAGGGAGGGAGGGAATAAAGAAGATCAGGTAATTGAGACGATAGAAAGACACTGTGCATGTTTGTTAAACTATTCACTTTAGGACTAAGGTAAGTTTGTTGTCAGTGGTGAATCACTGTCTTTAGGTCTCCAACATTTCCCAAATATATTTTTTTATTTTTATTTTTTTATAGAGGCATGTTTTATTTGTTTGTTTGTTTGTTTGTTTGTTTATACATGCACTGGGTACACTCAGAGGCTTGGGAGGGTGAGAGAATTCACCAGAGCCAGAGCAGGGAGCAGAGCAGGCAGAAGGACCGAAGTACACTGCTGAGGGGAGCAGCAGGCGGCAGGAGAGGTCTGCGCACCATGTGGGTCCCTCCTCTGGGGGCCGGGGAGCAGCCGGGGATTGAACTGGCGCTTCAGAGGCCGTGGGCAGCTTCGCAACCCAGCGCTCAACCGCTGCGCCACCAGGGAGGCCAACCCCAATATTTTTTTAATGATAATTTTTAAAATTTTTTACAACATTGTTCATTTTTAAACAACATTTGCTTCCCCCACCTCCTCAGGTGTAGTCCCCATAGAGTTTCCTTCCCCAAGGCACCTGTGCACCATCACCTCAGTCCCCTGTGCTCCTCCCTCCCTCCCTCTGCTCTCTCTCCTTCCTCCTCCCCTGCAGGATGCCTCAGGTTTATAATTGTCTGGTTTGCTTTGTTGTGTTTTGTACTGTTACTATTTTTTTACACTGATGTCTTATTTGGTTCCCCTATATTCCTGCTTTAAGTGAAACCACCCGATATTTTTCTTTTTCCTTCTATTTCCAAAATATTTTGAGAAAAGGATTTCAAAGCATTTACATTGAGTTCATCTTTAACATTATACATTGATAACTACCTGTTCATCCTTACATGGTGAAGTGTAATTAGTATTACTGAGAGAACTTGTTAAAAAATACCAATTCTTTGACTTCATTCTGTCCTTAAAAACTAAGCATCTCCAGGGGATGAGGCTGGGGGGGCTTGTAATAAGCACTTAGATGAAGCTTATGATCAGATAAATTTGGAAGACATATCTGTAGGAAATGGTATGTAAAGTTGGAATGGTGTCTCCACATTAAAGAAAATATATATTTTGACATATTTACTATTGAATCCAGATTTATGATGCTTATGAGAAATAGAATACTATGAAATTTGTGTAACTGATACAGAGTACTAAAAAAATACATGTGCTAAAATTGGAGGTAAGAGTGGACAAACATTAAATTTAAACATTACATTTTGAAAATAATATTTAACATCTGTCAATTAGTTTTATCCCTTTTTGTTACTTCATTTGAAGAGCATTTTAAAGTATGTATAATTATTTTCTCCTGAGCTTTGAAAAATGCTGTTTTATATATTATTTTTAAAGGTGTATTTTTATTTATTGAGATAACACATATACCACTATATGATTCAGAGATGTAAAGATCACATCACACCCTTCAAGTGTATGTTACCACACCGCACCCATAGTTCTCCACCACAGTCCATTTTATAATAATTTTACTTGCAGATGCTTGTAGCAACTTCTCAAAACTCAATCCATTTTGGGTCTGGCCAGATTATTGACTTAGAGACACATTGTTTGCCATTTGCTACAGTCTGATAGAAGGTTTGTTAACCTTCTCTCAACATAGCAGTGGAGTAAAATGGGCTTCCTCAATGTGTGTACATCACTAAACTTTGTCCCTGAACCTGTACTGTCAGCACCACCAATACTTGTAGATAAAATCTCCCAACTTCTACAATGGGTTACTTACTATAAAATATTTCTATATCTTGATGGTTAAAATCTATAACTAGAACCTGCATATGTCTTTGACAAAAATTGGGAATTTATAATATTATTATTTACAGAACTTTAATGATAGACCCATAGCACCTATTGGGAAATATGAATAATTGACTTAATAATTTATTTAATTTAAGTTTTTAATTTGTGGAGGAAATCTTGTTTAAGGAAAATAGATGTGGGCAGATCTATGTTCAAAAGAACCTGTTGCTAAATGCTTTGATACAGTGCCTTAGACACTGTTGTAAGCAGTATGCATGATGACCTCATTTTGTTCTCAACGCAAACCAGTAGTAGGAATTATCATTATCCTTGCTCTACAGAATAGGAGCTTGAGACACTGATGGGGTAATTTGTCCTGAGTTTCAAAGTTAGTGTTTCAGCTGGAATTTGAATCTAGTCAGTGTGGCTTCAGAACCTGTGTACAAAATTTCTTGTATGTTACTTTCTTAAACACACCTTGGATGTATTCTTATACCTTTTCAATAATTAATATAAAAAATGTAGTTGTTAAGGCATCTTACTGCCTTTCTTGAGGTCAGATGCCAGACTAGCAGCTATAGTAGAATAAATTTCAGGGTGAGAGAGCAGATGTAAGAGGAAGAGGAGGGACTTTGTGTTCACTGGAGCTCAGTTGGATTCTTGGCTTTCTTTGTATTCACTGGTTGGTTGAATGACTTTTGATATACTGCTCAGCTCTTCACTTGGTTTCCTCATTAGGAAAATATGCAACTATATCCTATAAGTTATTTTATTTGGGGGATTAAATGAGACAAGAGCTTAGAGCTTTAGGGATGTTAAATGAACTTCCTTCTTGTTTCTCCCCCTCTCTAGTTTCTCCCTTTCCCTTACCTCTTTCCTTCAGTCAATGTTTCAGATCTTTCCACCACCAAGGACAGCTTTGTCAATAATTTCCCATAGTCTCTATGGAGCTTATCATTAAAATAATAATAATAATAACATTTCAGTAATGACTAATTAGATTTCCCAATTTTTATTTGGCAGAGACATAGTAGCTTTAGCCAGCATAATATAGCTGTTTTCTAAATCAGATTTAGATAGCCAGGTTTATATAATGATAATATATATATATATGGTATTACAGCTAAAAGTAAAAGATAAAAATAATTAGTGAGTCTATGCATTCTTATCATAGGGAAATCTACATTTTTCACTAACTGTAAGATATTGAAAGCAACATGCTAATCCCTATTACAACTTTTATGAACCCCCTTCCTCAGTTGGTTACATTGAATAAGTATATGTTAGGTTGATAAAACAGCACACACAAAGGCATAGGCTATAAAAGAAATCATGTTATGGCGCGCAGACCTCTCCTGCCGCCCGCTGCTCCCCTCAGCAGTGTACTTCGGTCCTTCTGCCTGCTCTGCTCCCCGCTCTGTCTTTGGTGAATTCTCTCACCCTCCCGCGCTTCTGACTGTACCCAGTGCTTGTATAAATAAATAAATAAATCTTAAAAAAAAAAAAAGTACTTTAAAAAAAAAAAAAGAAATCATGTTATATTCAGGAAAAAAACAAGCTGAGTTATAGCTAGAGTGTGTGATAGCACCAAGGGTAGGGGGGCAGCATTTTTCACAGATGAATTGTGACTGATGTGCAAAAGTGATGATCAGGGTGATGGATGTTCTGAAGGTGATGGATGGCTTCTAAGTAGAAGAGTGATATATCTATTATGCATTTTAGGAAAAACATTCTGCTGACAGGTGAGATGAAGTATATTTGATTGGAAAATGAATGGTAGGGGAGAATTCAGGAAGTTGTTGGAATATTCAGGTTTAGAGATAAAGAATGTTGAACTAAGGCAATGAGACTGTATCAGTGGGGACGGAAAGTGAGGGGTGAAATTGACAGCTATTCTGGAGGTCAAGTGGCTAGGATTCAGAATTTGATTGGATGTGAAGAGAAATAGATGCTTTCATTTCTATGTAGTTTGTCTGACATTCAGAGTCAAGGATAAACTCAGGCATGAGAGAAGAGAAATTTGTTAAATCTTATGAAGCTGAACCTGAACCCCTTCCCACCGGATGACAAAACAACGAAACTAGGCACTTTTGGGTAAATTTAGCTCAAGTCTAGGTTTCACAGTTTTCTCACCCATTACTGATTCTCAGTATCCACCGTACTGGCATCTAGCTCCTCTCCCTGCTGTGTCCCTGACAGGTTTCTGGGCTGCTGACTTTGTTTCTTGACTGTCTTCCACACGCTCCTGGGGAGCATGGAAATATGGCTATGCTTTCTCAGGTGCTTTGTGCTAGAACACTTGTGTTCCAACCAACTGTCTCTGTACCTAAAATCCTTTTCCTTTACTACACTCTGTGTCATTGCACCTTAGTGGCAACTTTCTATACTCAGATTCCCAAAAACTTACCTGAGGATTCCATTACCCACATGACTTGTCCATCTACTACCGATCCAGGGTGAGGTTTGATGACTTGTCAGAGTTAGGGCTCAGGGGAAAAATTTCCCACCCCTCTGGGTTCTCCTGAGGCTGGAAGAAAAAAATTAATATCAGAGAGATTAGTAGGATAAAAAGCCCAAATTTAGTAACATACCTATGGAGAATTTACATGGCTATATATTTTAGCGCAAACTGGGGCAAGTCAGTGATATGTAGTCTATGTCAAGGAGTGTGGGATTTCAAGAAGACAAGAGGGTGTTTATATTATGAGGAGGGGATGACTTCATCTTTGCTCTGAAAGTAAAAATATGAGGTTCCAAGATAGAGAAGAGCTATTCACTGATAAACCTACACCTGGATGAGAGTCCCCAAACTACACTATTCTAGGTCATGAAAGAGGGAAAGAGCAAACATTTAGGGAGTGGTGATGTCTTCTTTGAGTATGGATTAGGGAATAGCAAAGGACTGTGGGAACCTCCAGCATCTCAACTGCTCGCAATCAAAATGATCTGCATTATTAAGTAATGGCAACATTTTCTTCTGGTGGCCGACATGACCTTAGCTGACCTTAGTTCCACATACCAAAGTCAAACCCATTGGGAAAGGCCTACTCGGAACACATTGAGAAAAGTTTCTCACCCTGTTTGGAGAATGATCCTATAGCAATATTTAAACTCCCCCTTTACGTCCCTATCCTCTAGGTTGGGTAGGAAGATGGAGAAGAAAGTTCACATTT